GAGTAGATCTTTGAACCAATCAACTGCCAGGTAACTACACTGTAAAAAAAAAACTGTTGTTTTTATGTTAACTTACTGGTAGCCAGTTATCTGTAAATTACTTTTAAAAATAAAAAAAGTACACTATGTTACCGTAAATTCCAAAGATTTAGTTTAACAGTACATTACTGTAATGTTTACAGTAATGTACTGTTAAATTAAAGTTTCTTTGGAATTTACTGTAGCATACTGTACTTACAAAAAAACATTCCTGTACATTACTGTAAAAAAGGTACATTATGTTACTGTAAATTCAACAGAAACTTTAGTTTAACAGCACATTACTGTGAAGTTTATATTTTTTACAGTAACTTACAGTTAACTGGCTGCCAGTAAGTTACCGTTAAAACAACAGGATTTTTTTACAGTGTAACCTACCTACCTAAACCAGCCAGGATTACTACTGATGTGTTTACTGGGATGGGGTGATGATGACACTCCCACCCTTGTGTTGAGCAACAACGACCAACTGACTGACTATAGCTCCAATTAGGCATGTCAGAAGAGTAGACTCTCATGTCCATTGAACATAACAATAATTATAGGTCATGGCACACAGTCCGGACCACTCAATACTTTGCCATAAATATGAGTCTCCTTTTTAAAAACCCTTCTGGATTTGACTTTGACCAGACTGCATTCTGTCTCTGTACTGTTTAGGTACTCAACTGTGAGCCCAATCTTTGCTCTAAGGCCACTTAATAGCAGTCATCTCCCTCACTCTCTTCCTCTCTCTCAATTCAATTCGATGTCAATTTAAGGGCTTTATTGGCATGGGAAACGTATGTTAATAATGCCAAAGAAAGTGAAGTAGATAGTAAACTAAAGTGAAATTAAATTACACTCAGAAGATCTAAAAGATAATGAAGCTGCCAGGTCCTCAACTGGCAGCTTCATTAAATAGTACCCGCAAAACACCAGTCTCAACGTCAACAGTGAAGAGGCAACTCCAGGATGCTGACCTTCTAGGCAGAGTTGCAAAGAAAAAGCCATATCTCAGACTGCCCATCTTAATCTTTTCTTTTTATTGGCCAGTCTGAGATATGGCTTTTTCTTTGCAACTCTGCCTAGAAGGTCAGCATCCCGGAGTCGCCTCTTCACCGGAGTCGCTTAACACTTTCCCACACCTAATGTAGCGCTAATCCTGTTTCAGATTGCACCCTCAACCATGAAATCCACTCACACAGGGAGAGAAAATACAGTGATGCAGCGCAGGCAGGGGTGTTACAAAGATAATCTTCCCCGTCACTTTCCTCCTCTGGCTTTAAGGAAACAGAAAGGAAATGGCACAATAAAAAAAATTACAGCAGTCAGATGGATGCAACCAGAGCCATACATAACTGGATGAAACCACTAGATAAAAACAGACGATTCAGGTTAGTAGGGAATAGTGAATAACCTCTAATTGTTTTACACTGAAATCACAGGGTATGCCCAAAAGGCAAAGCAACTATTATGTGTCATATAAATACTCAATAAATGTGTAAATCCAATTCAGTCAATTCATGAATCTAAAAAATCATCATATTAAACAATGGGCCATTTTCAATTCATGAATCATTTAAATTCATTAAACTGAACTTGGCCCAACCCGGATGTAGACATTGAAATATCCCTCCTATGAAAAATGGAGGAGTTCCCATGAACTGGTCTGACCGCTGTGGTCTGCTGCCCTAGCAGTGATCCCATAATGGGTCTGGCTGGCCTGCCTAGCTTACTGTACACTGAAGGAAAGTCCTTGAGCTGGCTGACTGACCAACACAGCTCTGTCCACAGGGTGGAGTAAGGAACAGTTACACTTACTGCATGATGAAGTCACTCCCAGGGACCAAGGCACAACTACACGAGAGGCTGCCTACAGTCTACAGAAGTGAGCATTCGTTCACTACCCCTCAATGTGATCTCAGAAATGGACTGGTGGAAATATATTGGATTCTACCTCTCGCACATGCTTATACCAATCCAATGCTTTAACCTATGACAGGGAGTGAGCAAGTGCACAATCCAGGGGAGAAGAGAAGGGAATTGAATCAGAACGACTGAGGGGCCTGGTAGGGATATAGAGGTGTAGAAGATTGGGTGTGACAAGGTGGCAGAGGGGTAGGAGGCTTTGTGACGGTGTCACCAGGTGATTCCCTCCCTGTCTCCCCCGTCTCCCCCATCTCCCTAACGTCTTGAGAGTTCCGCTTCACTGCGTGCGACAGGCGATTGGGGTGATCAGGGCCGGCGGGCTCTCTCCACCCCTCCTTCACTCAGCTGTCTCAGCAGGTCACCTGTGGCCCCTGAAGCCTTCAAGGGTCGCTACATCACAACATGTGAGTTGCATACTCAATATACTAATATATACTGATGGATAATGTACCAGTATTACAGGTAGTATATTTTAGTGTCCATTTTGCATTCCATGTGTGAAACTATCAGGAAATAAAAAAAATTATCTGCCGTATACATTCCTGTGTTAAATCATGTGAGGCAGAATTTATTTTCAGTATAATTTCTATTATCTCAGTGGTCACAGGTTAACACTGAGGAGAGAGAGTGAGAAGATGGAGAGAAGAAAAAAATAAAACATGGATTAGAAAGAAGAAAAAAACGAAAGAGTTCAGAGGGTCGTATCTCATTAAGCAATTGAGAAAGTTAATTAGGCAGCGTTGATAATTATTGCCATGGCAACCTGAGCGCACTCATGCAAATTTGATTAAGGAGTTGCTGGTGGTTTATCTGCACTGGCGAGACAAGATATAAAGTCCCAAATGGCACCCTATTCCCTATGTAGTGCACTACTTTTGACCACAGCCCATAGAGCTCTAGTCGAAAGAAGTACGCTATATAGGGAATAGGGTGCCATTTGGGACATAAACACAGACAGCAAAGCAGGGCCAGCGAAGAACCCCAGAGACCCCTATAGGTGACATGGTGTAGCTGCATATTCTCTTACCAAACCCACTCCGGAGTTTCTCTAAATAAGATCACCTCATTGAGCACAGCATGACTATGGTATTGACTACATTCCTTTACAACAGACTATCACAAGCATTAAGATGTTACTAACATATATAATCCCAGCCAAAAGGCAAAACACTGATAGCTTTGCTACTGGCCCTCAAATCTGGGAAAGGCACAGGATATGAGTCTTTGATTGGCCTTTATCACTGTCCAACAATGATCAGTCCTATTCACAATATTAATCATTGACTGATTATATTATGAACCTTGTGTCTGCTACTATCTATTCATTGATACAGAATACTAACAATATCAATAATTCCTAAATGCATGTGTCTACTTAATAATGGTTTCATTTTCATTCCTAGATGGAGAACATTTGTGAGTTGATAGTGATCCATTGAGGTAGGTAGGCATCCTGGGTTGTTTCTAGATTCCACAAAGAGAGCAGAGCACAGTCCACATGTTGCCCTCTGGTGGAAAAGAGATCAACAACTATAAGAACACAACCATTCAAAAGGAGCCACATAATTATGTTGATAGAATCCAATAGAATCGGACAATGCACTGACCATGGAAGTACAACCATTCAAAATTAGCCACACTGTAGATAGAATTCGACACTGTCTGCAGCATGTGCATCAAATACATATCGTGAAGATTAAACACCCTTCATCATGAAGCAAGTAGCAATGATTGCTAATCACTGCCATCTATGGGATTACTATTATTTTATTTTCTTAAAACTATTAATTTCTTAATTTTACTCCTATAAATCCTCAGATTGGTTTTGAGGACAGATTCCTTTTCAAACAATGTTTGCTTTAACAAACCCACAAGTAATACTCAAACAAAAACAAATGGATGACATATGTCAAACTCATCTCCTTGGGGGAGTAACTGACACATTTGACGTGTTCCCAGAACAGATAATCACATTCAGTTAGAAGAAAAATCACTTAATTAGCCATCCCAGGAGCTTTCTCAGTAGATGGCGTCGTGTGAAGTAAAAAGGTCAAACTAGGGACATGAAAGCAACACAGCAGAGAACCAGTGGGAGATTTCTCTAGGGACTAAACTAATCCTCCTCTCCCACCATCATCTCACACAGTGAAGAGAGAGGAGTATGGAGTATTACTGTTTATTATACAAATATCAAACAAAAGATATGAATTCTAATAACCTGCATGTCACTTTGTTTAAACTTTTTTTCTCTCTTAACTGAATTTCACACATCTGACAATAATGGGTTCCATTTTAACCAACCGCCGAATTATCATATAAAAATAACAAAAAAAATATGACTGTCTCACACACAAAAACTGCTTTGTTTCTTCATAGTTTGTTTAAAGCCAATCTGTACCCTCAGTTCATAGCCTTGTCTGAGTGGATTACTAAAACATCTAGCAGTCCTTGTCTGGTTAATGTTACCCTCTGTCTTGACAGAAACATGGTTTTCAGTGAAACCAACGGCACTAAAAATATCCACAAAGGCAAAATCATACTGTGAATAAAACAGTCAGAGAGTAAATAGCTAGTTTATAAGATACTTTTTTGTAACAGAGCGATGCTTCATTTTGTTTAAAATAATTAATAAATAAAGCTGTAAAACAAATGCACCAATCTGTGTTACAGTTAGTCTTATGATAAACTTCCAGAAGCCTGCCTGTGTATATGTTACATTAGTTGAAATAGCATTTTAATCTGGAGGTCAGTCAGACACTACTTTGTCAGTTCAAGTGAGTTGAGCAATAAAAAGAAAACATGTTATAATATACATATGAAGCAGACAGACCAAAAAAAACATAATCCAAACCAAAATAATATATTATTCTTACAAACTTCTCCCTATATCAGGGATCCCTATATTCCTTTGTCACAGCTTGTACAGTACAGGAAGTATTGATTGATTGGTTGTCCAGAGACGTGACCACTCTCCTAACTAATTCTAACCCCTCCCATTACATTGTCCAGGGAGGTGCTATGTGCAAATTTGAAATGGCACCATATTACCTATATAGTGCATTACCTTTGGCCAGTAGTGCACTAAGGAAAATAGGGTGCCATTTTGAATATGACTTATATTAGAAGAGAAGGGGTGGGCTTCTTCCCTGGCCACGCCTCCTTGGCGTATTTCTTTTTGCGTGGTTCGTTGAGAGCCTCGGCCATGTAGGGTCCAGGGGCGAGGTTAACAGCAGGGTTGGGGGTGATGGAGGGCTGTGCTGAGGCTGAGGTGGGGGAGAGGTCCACCTCCGGAGCAGGATTAGGGAAGACTAACGGCAGGCCCCCCAGGATAGTAGCTCCACCCTGGGCCGTTGCGGGGAGGGAGCCGGCCTCTCCACTGGTGGGTGGGAGGTCTCCATAGAGCCCTCCACTGAAAGGGAAGTTCTGCATGCGTCTGGCCACAGAGTCCTCCAGACCTAGTGTAGCGTGACCCTCCATCTTCCTCTTCTGATTGGGTAGCAGAGTTTAGGGGGAATGAGAAGATTGAAGATGGCAATATAGTAGCGTCAACTGTAAAGCACTGAAGTACTCTGTGACAAATGTCTTAAAAAGGGATTTATAAATAAAATGTGATTGATTGACATGATAGAGCTCAATTTGTCAACACAACAACAACTTTTAGCATTGATTGATTGGAGATTGGTCAACACCAAGGTAATTACAGTTGTGTTTTTATTTAGTTTTTATTTCTATTAGTTTAGTTTCAGTTAGTTTTCAGGGTTAGTTTTAGTTGTACACAAATATTTCATTTTTATATTATTTTGATTCCGTTTTAGTGTTAGGAACAGAAGGAGGCTTGGAGACATTTGTGTTGTATAGTTTTTTGGGGAGTTTTTGGGGATGTCACTTCTTTCAACTGGGGGGACAGTAATAAGTAAGGTGGTCCTCTGTAGCTCAGCTGGTAGAGCACGGCACTTGTAACGCCAAGGTAGTGGGTTCGATCCCTGGGACCACCCATACACAAAAATGTATGCACGCATGACTGTAAGTAGCTTTGGATAAAAGCGTCTGCTAAATGGCATATTATTATTATAGTTAAGGTTAGGTTTAAATTATTAAATCAATCTCAATGTAACTTGGATTTAAAAGAAATAGCGCCGAGACTGGTGCAAAAAATATGGTCAAAATAATTCAGCTACCTAGCTAGTGATACACTCCCCTATGAAGCAAAAACGTTTAATTTGGCTCTATACTCCAGCATTAGATTTAAGATCAAATATTTCATATGAGGCGACAGTACAGTCGTCAAAAGTTGAGAATGACACAAATATTATCACAAAGTCTGCTGCCTCAGTTATGATGGCAATTTGCATATACTCCAGAATGTTATGAAGAGTGATCAGATGAATTGCTGTTAATTGCAAAGTCCCTCTTTGCAATGAAAATGAACTTAATCCCCCCAAAAAATGTCCACTGCATTTCAGCCCTGCCACAAAAAGACCAGCTGAAATCATGTCAGTGATTCTCTCGTTAACACAGGTGAGAGTGTTGACGAGGACAAGGCTGGAGATCACTCTGTCATGCTGATTGAGTTAGAATAACAGACTGGAAGCTTTAAAAGGAGGGTGGTGCTTGAAATCATTGTTCTTCCTCTGTTAACCATGGTTACTTGCAAGGAAACACTTGCCGTCATCATTGCTTTGCACAAAAAGTGCTTCACAGGCAAGGATATTGCTGCTAGTAAGATTGCACCTAAATCAACCATTTATCGGATCATCAAGAACTTCAAGGAGAGAGGTTCAATTGTTGTGAAGAAGGCTTCAGGGCGCCCAAGAAAGTCCAGCAAGCGCCAGGACCGTCTCCTAAAGTTGATTCAGCTGCGGGATCGGGGCACCACCAGTGCAGAGCTTGCTCAGGAATGGCAGCAGGCAGGTGTGAGTGCATCTGCACGCACAGTGAGGTGAATACTTTTGGAGGATGGCCTGGTGTCAAGAAGGGCAGCGAGGAAGCTACTTCTCTCCAGGAAAAACATCAGGGACAGACTGATATTCTGCAAAAGGTACAGGGATTGGACTGCTGAGGACTGGGGTAAAGTCATTTTCTCTGATGAATCCCCTTTCCGATTGTTTGGGGCATTCGGAAAAAAACTTGTCCAGAGAAGACAAGGTGAGCACTACCATTAGTCCTGTGTTGTGCCAACAGTGAAGCATCCTGAGACCATTCATGTGTGGGGTTGCTCACTCACAATTTTGCCTAAGAACACAGCCATGAATAAAGAATGGTACCAACACATCCTCCGAGAGCAACTTCTCCGAACCATCCAAGAACAGTTTGATGACGAACAATGCCTTTTCCAGCATGATGGAGCACCTTGCCATAAGGCAAAAGTGATAACTAAGTGGATCGGGGAACAAAACATCGACATTTTGGGTCCATGGCCAGGAAACTCCCCAGACCTTAATCCCATTGAGAATTTGTGGCCAATCCTCAAGAGGCGGGTGGACAAACAAAAACCCACAAATTCTGACTAACTCCAAGCATTGATTATGCAAGAATGGGCTGCCATCAGTCAGGATGTGGCCCAGAAGTTAATTGACAGCATGCCAGGGTGGATTGTAGAGTTCTTGAAAAAGAAGGGTCAACACTGCAAATATTGACTATTTGCATAAACTTAATGTAATTGTCAATAAAAGCCTTTGACACTTATGAATGCTTGTAATTATACTTCAGTATACCATAGTAACATCTGACAAAAATATCTAAAAACACTGAAGCAGCAAACTTTGTGAAGACCAATACTTGTGTCATTCTCAAAACTTTTGAAGGTGTCATAAGTAATTGTACAAATTCACTTATGTGTATTAAAGTTGTCAAAATATTATTTCTGGCGGTTGTGTTTCAGATTAAGTTGTGCCCAATAGAAATGAATGGTAAATAATGTCTTGTGTAATTTTGGAGTCACTTTTATTGTAAATAAGAATTTAATGTTTCTGAACACCTCTACATTAATGTGGATGCTACCATGATTACGGATAATCATGAATGAATCGTGAATAAGTTAGAGGCAGAAATAAATAAAAAAACTAGCCGCATTTACACACCAGCTTCAGTAGCTTGAAAACACCCAAAAAAGCATGAAAACCCCATTAGATTTTTGCCCAAAGTTAAGAAAAAAACTCAAAACTAAACACAATTCATAAATGGTTTTTATTTTAGTTTGTTTTGGAGTCAAAGTTAATATTTTCAGTATAGTTTTCATTTTTTTCAAACGGTTTTGTAAATTATTTTATTTCAGTTTACTAAATAGTTTTTTATGATTTGTTTTCATTATACTTTCAGTTTCCTATAATAACCTTGGTCAACACACAACAACTTTTGCAATTTTTCTCAAGAATCATCCCCAGCATAAAGTAAGCGATGGACTTGAAAAGGTTTACCTTGATCGGGACAACAGCAGTCTGTACCATGTTCCTGAAGCGCCCTACTGACGGGTCGACGTCCTCTGTAACAAAAAGAAAACATACAGGATTACATTTTGTAAGTGTGTGTGTGTGTGTATGTGTGTGCACGCGCATCTGCATTCGTGCATGGGTGTGTTTTCTTGCATGTCTGTGTGCAAGCGTGTGTGTATGTGCACGTGTGTCATCATCAACCCTAACTAACACACCTGGGTTGATGACCTCCTCCTCCTCGCTGAAGGAGACCCTGCTACTCCTCCTCTTCCTCTTGGGCCTCACGATGTCCAGGTTGCCATCCTCGATGGTCAGGGTGGAGATACGCTTGTTGTGGGCCGTGTTGAACTCTGTCAGGTTCTGGAACAGGTGAAACAAGAGAATGGATGCGGTCAGGTTCATCAAACAGATTGAGAAACAAAGAAATTCTACATAAGCTGCTTGAACAAAACATAAATATATCTCACCAGAAGTCAAGCACTCCCCTGCCCCACACACACACACACCTCCAGCTCAGTCTCCTCCTCAGGTAGACCGAGCAGTCCTTTGAGCTCCTCGTCCTCCCCGGCCTTCACCTCCGCCCCAGGTATGGTGCTGGTCTGGGTCTGCGGCTTCTCTCTCAGGGTGTAGACCCGTGTGGACGCCCCGAACGACATGGTGGAGTCGATGGGCACCTGCTGGGGCTTGTGGGGCTCCAGGCGGATACGACCCAGGAACGTACCATGAGCTAGGGGGACAGAGTAACATGGATTGTCCTTTCGAAATGTAACTTCATACTTGAAGTTGAAGTTTACATATCTTGTATTTGGCATCTACAATGACGTGGCATGACCCAAACCTTTTTGTACCTGGGGCCAGCAAGCTATGGTTCTCTTTCTTGAAGGAACATTTACACTGAAACTAACACTTGACAACTGACTGTCAGACAACCAAGGAACACTGCAGGATACTAAGCAGTACTAGATACTCACTGCTGTTGAGGTCGAGCAGGAAAACCCTCTTGAGGTGTCTGTGGTAGACCAGGGCTGAGTGGATACGAGAACACGACTGGTGGTCTATCGTGAAGTCACACAAGTCTGGGTTCCGCCCAAACAGGTAGTATTTCTTTTCATCAATGATTAGCTTCTACCAAATGAAAAAAAAAGCCAGGATGAAATGTCAAGAGATTTGCCTATCATAGGTCATGGACTGGTATTGCTATGGTTCTCTATATAAAAAGTTGTCACATACACCGGATAGGTGCTGTGAAATGTGTTGTTTTACAGGGTCAGCAAATTAGGGTTAAGTGCCTTGCTCAAGATCAATTTAGGGTTAAATTACGTGTAGGTATTTAACAGCCTTGGAATCCAAGGGGGTCACTAGGTACAGAGACGTTCTTCCATTCCAACACAGTGGCATGTGCAGCAACTATATAATATAGGCTCTACACCTTATAACGGACTTCAAGTGTTATCATATTTAAATGAACAGTAGGCTAGTTGATACAAGCCACGTATTCTGCACACAGGCATTGCTCTTGCTTCTGTGGTTATTTTTGTCCAGCACCAGAAGCTGTTATTGTCAAAAAGGTTGAAGTTGGGGTCAGGGTTAAGACTAGGCTAGTATACTTACCTCTACTAGCTTGTCTCCCTTCACCACATCTAGATGAAGTCCAGGGGGAGGTTTCCCTGCCCTGACAAAACACACACATAAAGTTAATGTCAATTGCATGTCGTAATTATGCTTTTATTCAAATGACTGCGGTTTCACTGCCTTGCTGAAAAACTAGTTGAACAAAACTACGGATTTGCAATGCCATTTCTTCAAATGTTTTGCTTGTGTAAACTGCACAAGCAATACTGTCAGTCTTGTCTTGGGAAAGGAATATGCTGGCAAATGCTGCATAACAGTAAGCATTGTGGAACGCCATACAGCTTTATCAAACCTTGCTGCTGGATTTCACTGACAAGCTCGTTAGTAGAATGTTCATCAAACAGCTAGCATACGACTGACTGAGCACTCCAATATCATAGCTAAGTTACCCAGATAGCTAGTTAGCTCATGTTTCTAGCACGCAAACTACATCCTATTTCGATGAGACAATCTAATTTCCTTCACCGACATGGACCTTACAACACTCTACTGCATGCTTTTGATTTTTGACAGTCAAAATTATGCATTAGACATCGTCGCAGGTCTTACCATGACGGGCAGTCAAAAAGAGGTGTGTTAGTGCTTGGGTTTGCTGCCATCTTACACCGTGTACTAGTAGTGAATGCTGGGAAAGTGAGGACTACAGGGAAGTCTGTAGAAAGCTGGGAATCGTAGTTTATTATGATGAAATAATATTATGAAAGTTAGTAAACCGACATTAATTCCCCTGGTTTCAATGTCTATGCTATATACGTTGGAGATAAAATTGTTTTGGTTAGGTTTATAACAAGTTTCCCACGATTGTGGAAGTTTGCGTCAACATCTTTTGTTTGTTTTGCAAATCAAGACACATTTTCATTGCATAATGACATTTCACCAAGCAATCATTTATCCAATCAACATTTTACACTGTACATCAGCTGTCACATACCATTGAGGACCGCAAACATAAAACAAATTAGGCCACAGAATCACCATATTTGAATGTAAATAATATAAATAACAAATCATGCATGTTGATAAACCAAAATGTTCTGTCCATTTTTATTAAATCAAATTCCTATAGCCATTGATGTAAGTTGACCTGAAACAACAAAATACATTCTCTAGCCCAGGGGTAACTCAACTCTTACCCTACGAGGTCCGGAGCCTGCTGGTTTTCTGTTCTACCTGATAATGAATTGCACACACAGCTGGTGCCCCAGGTCTAAATCAGTCCCTGATTGGAAGGGAACAATGAAAACATGCAGTGGAACTGGCTTCAAGGTCCAGAGTTGAGTTTGAGGGCTAGCCAATAGTGGACCTGAAATGTTTGTCGTCGATGGTGGAGAAGATGTGGCCTTCACTGATTAGAAATTCCAAGGACTGGCTGCATGGAGTAAAAGGGGAAGAGGAAGCATTAGACCAGATCTTCTCTTTTCACTATGATTTAAAAACATTTTCTCCCCACTGAACACACCCAAGTGAAAAAAATAGCATCTGTTACCTGATGGCAGTCATGCTGAGGTACCCCAGCTAAATGTGTAGCTCCTCTAGACTGATGCCCCTGGGCTTTGAGTCTGAGCAACTCCTGATCAGGTTCAACACCTTACAGGAGGAGAAATAAAGCAATTGGTCTTTTGACCAATCACATGATATCTTTTCACATCAGATATTTTTCAGAGCTGAGCTGATTGGTCAAAATACCAATTATTGAAAAAAGATCAGAATTGGGCTGCCTGTGTAAATGCAGCCTTAGTCTATAGGCCTAATAGTTATTATTACACAGACAAATCCATTGTCGCATTGGTTTCAAAACTGTAAACTGAGACCTTATCCAGAAACAACCCCTACCCCCTGTCCCAAGACACTTTTCACACTACTTTGCCAAACCAAGCCAAGCTTAGCTGTACTGGTTTCACATTCACCCTAGTTGCTGGAACTGTGCTGGAAAGGACAATGTGAAAAGAAAATATCTGAACCAGCATAGTACGGTTCAGCCCTATTGTCTGAATCAGGCATTAGAAGCTAGGGTATAGGCTTTGTTTGTGCTGCAGGGCTAGAAAACTGACCTGGCTCTGACAGGCACTCAGCCCGTAGTTTGATGCATCTGTCTCCAGCATTTCCACCACCACACAGGTTCCTGTTGTGCTGCATGTGGGCCTGCACTACCTCCAGCATGTGAGAGGTGATCTCATTCAGGTCCTCAAGGCAACAGAGGTTGAAAGCCACCAATGATCTTTGGCCCTGTCAGGAGGTACGTGAAGGGGTACAAAAATGTGCAGAGAAATACTAGACAAAGTACTAAATGGAATACATTTACCTGAATGATGCGCAGACTTCCAGAGACTTTGACATAAGTCCCTGGGGAAACAAAAGTACTGTCCACACCAGGATCCTGTAAGGCAAATATTCAGTAATATATATTTATCTGCTATATGAAGTATTAGAAAATAATGAACTTGGCGATGCCCTATTTTTCCCGACCTAGTTTTCACATTTGAGACATTTCTGGACGAAGACCTATAAATTATCCACAGTGGTGTAAACAAAAATACTTGAAAGTACTACTTAAGTAGTTTTGGGGGTATCTGTACTTTACTATTGATATTTTTGACAACTTTTACTTCACTCAATTCCTAAAGAAAATATTGTACTTTTTACTCCATACATTTTCCCTGACACGCAATTCACGCACTTATCAAGAGAACATCCCTGGTCATCTCTACTGCCTCTGATCTAGCGGACTCACTAAACACAAATTATTTGTATGTAAATTACATCTGAGTGTTGAAATGTGCCCCTAACTATCCGTAAATAAAAATAAACAAATTGTGCCGTCTAGTTTGCCTAATATAAAGGAATTTTAAATGATTTATACATTTACTTTTGATAAAGTATATTTAAAACCAAATACTTTTAGACTTTTACTCAAGTAGTATTTTACTGGGTGACTTTCATTTCAGTCATTTTATATTAAAGGCATCTTTACTTTTACTCAAGTATGACAAATTGGGTACTTTTTCCACCACTGATTATCCACTTACCGCAGTCTCCACCCAGAGCTTCACGTCCAATGGTGGTCCAGTCATGTCGTCCACGGAGTACAAGACATTGCTTACAGAGGGAACCGTTCTCCTGACGATACCCACCACAGATACCTTCATCCAGAAATCAAATGCAAAACAGGTGTGTGTGTGGATGTTCAATCAATGCCAAAACGTTTTTTCTGTGACCAGGGTTTTTGGTGAAAAAGGTGGATAAACATGAGACAGGACCTACTGAGAACAGGCTCTAGCTTTCTCTACCAACAGGGACCCTCACCTGGTGGAACAGAAACACACACCTGGTTGACCTCGATGTCACCAACGCTGAAGACTTCCCTGGCAACCATGGCAGACAGCAGTTGGGACACAGTGCACGGCATCATCTGGAGGACTGACCTCTGTCACAGCAGGGCAATAAGAAGCATCACATTTACATCAGAACATTAAGTCACATTTTGGTCCACTGAAGCATATCTATTTTATAATATAAGAATGCTAGTTCAATGCATTCCAAGACAACATTGTCATTGAGCAGTTATGGGTTATGTTATGACGGCATCAGGGTTAAAAGAAACACCTTGGTTGTCTTCTGTCCTGACTGTGAGGTGGTGAATCCACCTGGGTACTGATTGCACCTGAATCCACTTCCCATATCTGAGCCCCTGTTGTATCCTTTGGAAAAACACACTGAACTGCACAACACATCTACTGAAAGCAGTGACAATGAGTGATTCAAACTTTTAAATGCTAGTTAAATTCATTTGTGTGACATCTTAGTTGCAGGTCTCTTCAAAACTCACCTTGACCCCACGTGTTGTTGGAAGAGGGATTTTAGTTAGTTTTGATCACTAGAACTATCCCATGAGACTGAAAGGTGTTACTCTTGACAGATTACCACATTTCAACTCACTAGCAAAATGTTAGTCAATTATCCAATCAGAGGCTGAAGTGTAGCAACCATATAATCTCTCCAATCAACAAAGGGCATCTACCACTCAATCAGCAGCTAAATAAATTGAAAACTTGCAGGCAAGTTAATTCTCACTAAAACATTCACTATGATATGAAATCTAACAGTACTTTGTTACGTACAACAATAGAAAGTAATTAATCCATGTTTTTTTTTAAACATTTTAATTATAACGCCATCAATTCAACAATGAATTACATTTATTACAGCATTTATTTTGATACATTTCAATTAATCTCTACAAAATATTTTACAACAACATACAAAGGAAATATTGTTCATAGAAAAGTTTGATCCCCCCATACACCTGGTTATAATGTACACTGGTGATGCTTGGTGTTTATCTTCAACTGATGAGGTTTCTCGTTGTAATGGTTCTGAATAGGGCACTTATGATTTTTGTGTTCCCAATGGCACCATATATAGCACTTCTTTTGACCAGGCAATAGGGTGCCATTTTGGATGCAGATTTCACCAAAGGTGACACATCTGATGAGTCTGGTAGGATTATATTTCAGACAACGAGCTCTGTTTATCTCCATATTAAGTTAAATCAGAAGCAGCAAAGACGTTTTTGAGAAGTTGACCCCAGTTGTGTGTGTGTACACAATCATTACACACACACCAATGATCAACGAACGTTCGACCAATGAAGACATAATTATCACCACCAGCACACCAACACAGTATTCAACTTAAATAACGCTTCTGTATCAATGACAGAAGATAATGGAAGCTGAAGTAAAGATCAACCCATCACAGCAAATATACAACTCAAACAATGTCAAGGCCCTTAAAAACCGAGTGTAATAATCCAGACACATGTCCATAAACTCCTCCTTTAGCCTCTGTAGTAGCTCACATACAGTATATACGCGGAGCGTACAAAACATTAGGAACACGTGCTCTTTTCATAACATAGCCTGACCAAGTGAAAGCTATGATCACTTAATGATGTCACTTGTTAAATCCACTTCAAATCCGTGTAGATGAAGGGGAGGAGGCAGGTTAAAGGATTTTTAAGCCTTGGGACAATTGAGACATGGATTGTGTATGTCACAGGAGGTTGGTGGCTCGTGGTAATGGCTGGAGTGGAATAGGTGGAATGGTATCAAACACATCAAACACTTGGGTTCCATGTGTTTGATGCCATTCCATTCGCTCCTTTCCAGACATTATTATGAGCAGTCCTCCCCTCAGCAGTCTCCACTGGTGTATGTGTGCCACTCAGAGGGTCAATGGGCAAGACAAAATATTAAAGTGCCTTTGAACGGGGTATGGTTGTATGTGCCAGGCGCACCGGTTTGAGTGTCAAGAACTGCAATGCTGCTGGGTTTTTCACACTCAACATTTTCCTGTGTGTTTCAAGTATGGTCTACCACCCAAAAGGATATCCAGCCAACTTTGCACAACTGTGGGAACCATTGCGGAGTCAACATGGGCCAGCATCCCTGTGGTACGCTTTCGAACACCTTGTATAGTCCATGCCCCAACGAATTGAGGCTGATCTGAGGGCAAAAGGGGATGCAACTCAATATTAGGAAGGTGTCCCTAATGTTTTGTACACAGTGTATATTCATAAATCAATGGGTACATATCATTAATTTATAAGTCCGAAAATGGATGTATACTGAACAAAAATATAAAATGCAACATGTACAACAAGTGTTGGTCCCAAGTTTCATGAACAGAAATAAAATATCCCTGAAAATGTTCCATATGCACAAAAAGCTTATTCCTCTAAAATGTTGGGCACAAATTAGTTTACATCCCTGTTAGTGAGCATTTATCCTTTGCCAAAATAATCCATCCACCTGACAAGTGTGGCATTTCAAGAAGCTGATTAAACAGCATGATCATTACACAGGTGCACCTTGTGCTGGGGACAATAAAAGGCCACTCTAAAATGTGCAGTTTTGTCACAACACAATGCCACAGTTGTCTAAATTTTGAGGGAGTGCGCAATTAGCTTGCCTGCAGGAATGTCCACCAGAGCTGTTGCCAGAGAATTGAATGTTCATTTCCCTACCATAAGCTGCCTTCAACGTTGTTTTAGAGAATTTGGCAGTACATCCAACCAGCCTCACAACCGTAGACCACGTGTAACCATGCCAGCCCAGTACCTCCACATCCGGCTTCTTCACCTGCGGGATCATCTGAGACCAGCCACCAGCTGATGAAACTGAGGCAGATTTCGGTCTGTAATAATGCCCTTTTGTGGGGAAAAACTCATTCTGATTGGCTGGGCCTGGCTCCCAAGGTGGTATGGCTGCACCCCTGCCTAGTCATGTGAAATCCATAGATTAGGGCCTAATCAATGTCTTTCAATTGGCTGGATTTCCTTTTATGAACTGTAACTCAGTAAAATCATTGAAATGGTTGCATTTATATTTTTGTTCAATATAGCAACTGCTGATTTCCGCCACAAATCACACAATATAGTGCTAGGTGCTAGTGTGTGGAGATATTAAAATAAGGCATAAAGTATGTTAATCTCATGAAAGACAAGGGTATTTTGGCGATGGAAGACATTTAAAAAGGCAGTAATGCAGGTTAATGTTGGCGACAGCCAGCTCGTACGAAATAACAATGTAAAACGTATGCCACTGTTTGAATGACACTGAAACTAAATTTTTTCAGATTAACATTTGCTGACAACCGTTAGAAGCGCACAAATTATGACCTGCAAGGCGATAGGCCGGGGTCCAGAGAGAGCGCCTTCCTTTACCTCTGACACCTACACCAAACCTCACCTACACCAAACCTAATAGGCTTAGTATGAGTCTGTCGGAAGGAAGCGTGGAGAAAAGGATTACCAGTACGATCCAGCTGCACCCAGGGGAAATGGAGGTGTGTATCTGTGTTCTGTGGAAACCGAGGAGAAAACTGACAGCGAGAGGAGATCAGGTTAAACACAAAATGGTATTTTGTGTATTATAGATCCTCTGGGCTCAGTGACAATTGTGTGTGCTGTGCTGCTTGTGTCTCTTCTCTCTCGCTGAAGGGGAGAGGCATGGCATTGCATGCATAAGTAAACTTTCTGTGTGCTGACAATACACCGGTGTGTGAGTGGCATTGCATGCATAATTAGACTTCTTATTTGCTGTTTGACAATATGTCCTCCCAGGCCCTTTATAAACACTGTTTCTCAAGGTGATAGATAATAGCAGGGTAAGTTATGAAAAAGGAAAATAACAAAATAAAAGTGCATTTGTCGTCAAGTGATTGCCAGTGAAGTCTAACCATTCCGTTCACACAGGTTTCATTCGGAACTAAACTGGCCTTCAGTCTAAATTCAAGCACTATATTTTAATATTACAAGCAGAACACTGGCTCTTCAGTTAAATACATTGATGTTAGTTTGGGGCAACAACACATTCCTTTATGTGTTTAGAATAAGCAGCTTGTTGTCTCTGGACTTTAACTTATGGTGACTCAAGTTAATTACATTTCAAACACTCAAATTATTTTAATTATGGGCCAATCATGACACATTCCTGGCCTATTATGAAACTGGCTGACTGGGGTTATGTAAGGTTTTGTCTGCACTGGGCTGGGGGTTATGTTAGTTCTGCACTGGGCTGGCATACCAAGACCTTGTCTGCTCCCACTAGCCTGATTCCCATAGTTGGCTCAGGGCCAGCTCAGAATACACAGGCCTCTGTGAAATGTCGTGCTGCTCTCTCTTCAAACAGCCGTTTGTCTTCAAATCCCAACCAATAGTATATTTTCGTTTTTTACCTGAGCAGTGGGAAGTGTGCGTGCCTGTGCGTGTGTGTGTGTGTGGCTGTTGATGGGGAGGAGCAGGGTGTGGTCACAGAATCACAGAATACTGGTAAAACCAGCTGTGCACAGTTTACGATCACTGAGGCATGTATAAATTGGAATTTAATTGCATCCATATCTACACAGGATGCAGTCTCCCTGTATCATAAATTGCATCCGAAGTATGATTATTAGCACCGAGACTGGGGTGGAATTTGTAGGCAAACAACTAAAGAGAGAGTCAACTTTAACAGGTTCGCCTAAACCACTGGGGTAGCTAGCAACACCTCTCCTTCTGAGAGACCAACAGCTGAATGTGCTTATGGACAGCCTTGCTATGTTAACATTCAAAACAAACATTTTTACAGACTGGCTATGAGCTAGGTTTACCAGTAGTCCTACATCTGAACCAATATCCAACCGCAAAGCCAAAATCTTTGCAACCTTTAAATTGTTCCCTTGAAAATAAAAACAAACTCCCATTGTGTGGCCTTCGCCACCAGAGCTAACAGTGGTGAATTAGGACTAGATACATGTGCTGGACGTTGTAACTACAAGTCCCATGGTCCATTCTCCTCCTATCCACCCCCATTATCACGTGTCCCAGTCAAGCTCTCTGCAGGCGATCCTGACCAGTCGGAGCTCCAGTTCAAAGGCATCAGGCCTCTCCTGAGGGTTGAACGACAGCATCTCCCTGATCAGCTGTTTCATGCCGGCGTTCATGCTCTTCATCCTGGCCGGGATCAGCAGCTCCATCCTGGGGTTCTCCAGGAGCGCCTCCCCCAGGGGCACAATCTCCTCCCCCTGCTGCACGTAGCTCCCCAGGAGCTCCTTCTGGGTCTCCACGTCAACGAACGTGATCCGCTCCACCATGGCCCAGATTATGATGCCCAGGGCAAAGATGTCTGCTTTAGCCGTGTAGTGGCCCTCCCACGCCTCTGGAGCCATGTAGAAGTCCGTGCCGCACGCTGTGGAGAGGAAACACTTGTTGACGGAGGCTGGTTCCTCAGGGTTGAGGCCTGACGTGGAGCAGACCTTTGACAGTCCGAAGTCTGCCACCTTCAGGGTGGGCTCGGGGGTTCCCGCCAAGGTCCTTCCCTGGGAGATGAGGATGTTGTCAGGCTTCAGGTCTCGGTGGATGATCTGGTTTCGGTGGAGGAAGGCCAGGGCGCTTCCTAACTGCAGCATGAAGCTGGTGTTGGTCTTGCGGCTGGGTTTACGGGACAGCAGGTAAGCGTTCATGTCTCCCCCGTCACAGAAGTCCATGACGAACCACAGGTAGTAGGCACAGCACGGGTCAAAGGTTATCTCTCCCTTCAGAGATGTCTCTACCAGCTGGAGATAAAACAGAGACAACAGAAAGGCCATTAGTAGTAATAGTACATCATATAGTAATTTAGCAGACAGCCAGACACAATCCAAAACAGACAGTGTATATACAGGCATTCAGTATATGTGGTCCATGCAGGAAGTTCACCCACAACCATGGGGTTGCCAGCACCATGCTCTAACCAATGACTCTGTGACTGAGCCATTGGCACCACATTAGAGCATGAGAGAAGAGACCATTGCTCTGTATTCTGGAACACTTGGCTTGCTGCAGAAAATGCCACCAATAAGATTAATGCTGAACAGATCAAAAATAAATAATTCAAAAAGGCTGCTGGGAGCAAGCCGACAGGGTCTCTGTGTCAATTCCCATCACGTTTCAGAGAAAACGCTAACTGGAGGCAAATTACAAAGAAAGCGCAACAAAATGCTATTTCTATCAGCGCTACCTAACTGACAGATTTAACATTACATGAAAACAGGGAAATTGATTATGTAAACTAAACACAGTGGCAGTGCTGATTATTGATAAGCCAAGATGGGAGAAGAAAAATACTTATCATTATATTCAATTCCTTGAGAAGGGGGGGATCATTTTCAACAAACAAGCAAAACTGCCTTGTTTCGTGCCCTTGGCTTTGAATTCACAGCATGACTGCCATCCTCCTCTGTGATCTGTCAAATGGAGGGGCGTGTGTGTGTTGTCAGTTTTTCTGTCTCGCTGGCTCCTTGCGTAAATTTTTTAAAAAATCAAAGCTCGTTGTGATGACGCTGATCTTAAAAGGCTTCTGCTGGAGGAACTGGGTTAATCGAGCACACACACTCCTATTGACAGCTGACCAGATTGAAAACCTATCCCCTCCCATAGAAAATGTGCTGCAGGTTTGACATGCACACGTCAGCAGCACAACTACTTCGGTTTTAAATTACAGACAAATCAAATGCCTGACAATCTTTATGGTACAAAACAACACATTGACACTCCGGCCAGGGAAAACCAGTCTGTACACAAAATGGGTCAGTGAGCCGAGCCATCTGTAACCTAATAGATGCAAATAATTCATCAGCATTGCCACAGTCAGATAATACGGTCCATGGCCTCAGGGGTCTATTATCATGGTGTTTCCTCCCCCCACACACGCCGTAATCCTGTCCTATTATCAAATATTTTCCCTCTATAAGCAGCAGCTGAACATTACAGAAAAGAAGACTCAGTCGGAACAAAGGATTCTGGGAAAGTGGCCAAGCCCAACATGCTGCAGTGTTTAACAAGCTCGTAGAGCGGTCGGACAATGTATGCGAGTGTGTGTGTGACAATGGCCCACGTGCTGCTGAGAGGCTACAATCAGTTGTTGCCAGGCCCTTTAAACCCTCAGTGAGCCAAGGGGGAGGAACAGGGAGGGACATGTTGGTGGTGACAGACTACAGGTTGACTGAAGAGAGGAGTCCCTTTAAACCACAGTGCTCAATGAGGACATGAGATGCCCCCTTAAAAACCAGTGTTGAACACACCACAGACAAGCTAAACACCCTGGCATAACTCGACACACACAGAGGATAGAAATAAAGAGGAGTCTTCTGAACTAACTAGAGTCACAGTATAAACACTCTGTAGAGGCATCAAACAGGCTGAATGAGAGGCCAAAACACTGGAAGCAACACTAGCGAATACCTTGAATTACTAGCAAACCCAGGACTAGCCATTTCTGGCATCTCTGTGTCCGTCGGTACATCAATGTACTCAGCCACTTGTGTGGCTGGCAACAATGTGCTGGCAACAATATGTAGAACAACCAAAAAGGGAAAACAAGCCAACACTCCCTTTATCAACTAGCGTGACTGTGCTCAATGTCCAATACATCATCCTATAGCCTACATTGGGATCCACTGAGTGTGTGCATCTGTCCTGTCTTGTCCTACATAATTAACTTGTTATGGTATGTTTGTTACATTAAGTTATGTTATTGTAAACGTATGATATTACGGTAAATGTATTTAGGCTATCCTGGTGTTGTGTTTTCTATCACTTCTATAATTTCCCATTGGTGAATTGAGTTTAGGACTTCAAAAATAAACTTCTCCACTAACATTCTACCCGTCAACATAGAGTCAGATTCCTTCCCCTCTGCTCTCACCACTTCCTCCTCGGCTGCCAAGATGCTTCTCAGTATCTACAAGACAGAACCTTGAGGTTGAATGTTAAGTTCCGCCCTGCCAGCACAGATCCGTTTGTGAGGTTCTTCTGTGGCTGTGGTCTTTCAACAGATAAGCTCAAGATGTGATTCCTCTGGTCTGAATTTGTACTCTTCCATATGATTAAGCCTACAATGGGTTTGAACTGGGGCCTTAGTACTAGGGCCTAACCTTACTCATAAGTATCTGATGATAAGTTAAGTAGTCTACAGATAATTGAAAACATGTTTGATTTTCAAAAACTAGGCCTATCCTTACAACCCTTCACCTAAACCCACTAGTAGGCTTGGGCAGTATCCAGATTCTCATACTGACATTGTGCCATACTGGGATATCCAGTAATACCTGCACTGAACACATGGGGAACTATTTTCAAACCCTACTTGGCATTACTAATCTTTGGGGGCGGATTACAAAGGCTAAGAACATGTAAACTCCTATAGAGTAGGCTAACTAAATGCTAACAAACACATTGCGAACAGGACAGACATCCCAGTTCATAAAGTTATACAAGTAACTCAAAAATTCTACTCAGCTTGCTGCACACACAAAACAAATATTAGACAGCAAGGCTCTTGTTCCAGGAGGGGATTCCCTGCTGTTACCAAGCAAAGCTTGATTTTGGAATAAGCTAACCACTTAGCTAACTAGCAACTAAATTAGCAAACCAAATGCACAACTGCAGACAATTAACTTAATAGTTAAGATATCTAGCTGGCAAACATTTAGTTGTGAATTCCATACTGTAACTAGATCACCTGGCGTGTGCTGCACAACAGTGAGTGACTCACAAGGCTCCGGTTTCTCGTCGTTGTGTGCTTGGAAACAAACACCACATGACTGGGGACTACCGGTAAGCTTCATAATGGAAAATTATGTGACAGGTGAAATGAAGAACGTGATCTTCTTTATCTCCTAACGTATTGCACAAGTTGATGCAGGTATTTACTTAAAAAGTACCAACAAATATTCAAATGTATTTAAAAAACTTCAAAATAGTTTGAGGTATTGACAGTATAAAAAAAAAAGACATACCGTGGCTATTTCCAAATACCCCGGTATACTGTATACCGCCAAGCCTACCCACTAGTACCTCCCACCTGGAGCCTATTTGAAAACATCCTATATAACCCTCTCCTATACGCTAGCGGAGTCCTTTCATATGAGCAACCCCGTCACCTTACACATTGACAAAGGGGAAACCTCAACCTGACCCCCAGTGAGCCCTCCCATCTCCCCCGGTTGTTTTTGCCTCATCCCCTTTCTGTGCATTTCATGCATTGCTTTTACTTAGGTTCTAATTTATTACATTTAATTATTTATTTAGTCATCTATTGTTTGTACTCATTGTGAATCCCTGTGCTTCATGTGTAAAACGTGGTTTCTGTACATTCTGTTTTAAGTCTATTATCATTACATCTAGGTATAGCAGGGAGCTGGATCCGTGGTTCATCATCTGGACAGGTCCATCTGCATTTTACTACAGCTAGCCTGTTATTTATCCATATAAAGTGTATTACCTCTAGGTATAGTGGGGAGCTGGACCCGTGGCTCATCCTCTGAGCCAGGTCATCTCTCTGCAGGACACACTCCTCCAGGTGGATGACGTTGGGGTGCTGGCTCTGGATACTGCTCAGGGCCCAGAATTCCCTGAGGGCTAGCTCTACATTCTCCGGGCTGTGGCAGCGGATCTTCTTCACGGCCATCCGGGCCCCGGTGCGTTTCACCACCGCCTCGTAAACCAAGCCGTAGCTGCCACGCCCCACCTCCTGGATCAGCTCGTATTTCGGCTGGCTGCTCACCATCCTCTTCCTCACTGTGGGGGGGGGGGGGGGGGGGGGGGGGGGGGGGGGGGGGGTGTTAATGGGGTACCACTGATTGTTGTTGAGAGCTAGGTGAGGTCAGCAGCACAGACTGAGAATGTAACCCTGATGACCCTCAGCTACTGGACACAGTGGGTTAATCTGTCATTCTAAATTAAGAAAAGCATATCTGTGAGTTGACATGACAGCCCCCTGCTCCTTACCCATAGCTATAGGCCTAGTCTAGAAGTAATCTGCTAAATTATCTCAGGAAAACAAACTAGCTAGCTAAGTGACACACTGTCAGATGCATGACACAAATAACATTAGTGTAAGTTTTAGCAAGTAAAATGATGTGTTGGTTGGCTACCCGCAAGATAGCCCTTGATCATGACTCTCAGTTCCATTACATTACACATAAGAGTCATCGAAGGAAGGCGTCTTCTGTACTGTGGAGTTTTGTTAAGAGCACCAACACTCGGCCTGAACATTAACATGAGTCACTTGCGGTGTGGTTTTGGAAGCATAAAGACCTTATCTTCCAAATCATTAAAAAACATTTTAAAAAGCATTTTCATTGATACACTCCTTTATAGGGTTAGGGTTCCCACACGGCCATATCACCATACAGCGCGTTTACAGAAGACAGAGGGACCACCTGTGCCAATTAGCTACCTAGCATGCTCCGAACACCTGTATGTAAAGAAAGGAGACCGCGAGAAACGTATGATCACTGAAAAATACTGTTGGATGTAAAGGTCCTGGGCTGGCGTGGTTACACGTGGTCTGCGGTTGTGAGGCCAGTTGGGGCGTACTGCCAAATTCTCCAAAACGACGTTGGAGGCAGCTTATGGTAGAGAAATTAACATTAAACTCTCTTTAACAGCTCTGGTGGACATTCCTGCAGTCAGCATGCCAATTGCACACTCCCTCAAAACTTGAGACATCTGCGGCATTGTGTTGTGTGACAAAACTGCACATTTTAGAGTGGCCTTTTATTTTCCCCAGCACAAGGTGCACCTGTGTAATTATCATGCCATTTAATCCACTTCTTGATATGCCACACCTGTCAGGTGGATGGATTATCTTGGCAAAGGAGAAAAGCTCACTAACAGGGATGTAAACAAATTTGTGCACAACATTTGAGAGAAATACACTTTTCGTGTATATGGAAAATTTCTGTGATCTTTTATTTCAGCTCATGAAACCAACTCTTTACATGTTGCCTTTATACTTTTGTTAAGTGTAGAATCGTATCGCAATTTAGGAATCAATTCACGTTTAGATTATGTTTTTGGCTGCCTGAGCCAGTCTACCTCTGACGATATCATATAAAGTCCTTGGACCTTAAGGAGTAATGGTAGGCTCCTAAAGGTTACATATTGGACTACCCGCAAGAGAGCAAATGTGAAAACCTCAGAGGCCAAAGCATGCGAAATGTAAACAAATCAACATTGCCCCCTCAGATCTGACCTGCTACGTGCGCACTAACGCATGGCTGACAGCTACAGAATGAGGGGAAAGTTGACGTTAGCTATGCCATGTCAGCCTACTGGCCAAATATGTAACAATAAATACAAATATATCAAATAGTAAGTTACGTTTAATCAGCTAAACTCTAGGGGAATTAGCTTGCTAGCTAACACGGAAGCGAAACTGTTTTTAGAAAATGCTGGCTAAAAACACATGAATCGTTTGTTAGAATCATAACTAGCTAGCTATATAAATGGTATCTTGTTATCTATGTTACCACATGGGAATATAGAGAAGTTAGCTAGCTAGCTCAGTACCTTATGTCAGGGTTTCCCCAAACTCGGTCCTATGTCCCCCACCCCCCTAGGTGCAGATTTCGTTTTTTTTGCCCTAACATACATTAAATAAATCAAAGCTTTGTGATGAGTTGGTTATTTTGAATCAGTTGTGTAGTGATAGGGCAAAAACCAAAACGTGTACCCGGGGGGGGGGGGGGGGGGGTAGCTTGTTCAAATCGTGGACACCTTCATTGCCCTGCTTGTGCGGAGCTAAAATTAGCTAGCACATTCGGCTAACTAACGCGTAACAGTCCCACACACCTGCGCACACGACCAAGCACCATGTCGCACGGGCAGACAAAAGAGCTGGCTTCTTCTGAAGACGAGGAAAGGAAACAGAGTAGCTAGCTATATATCTAGCAAGCTATACATTTACCTGTTTTCGTCTTCCCTCAACGATTCATTTGTTGTTGACTTTCTCCCGCAGCTACACACGTTCTCGCGCAGACAGACAAGGTCCGTGCTGAGAGATCCCAGACCTGCAGCTCAAGTACCCCGTCAACAGCGCGCGCTCGCTCGCTCCCAAAACAACACAGCCAGGGTGCTCTACAGCAGCAGTCGTGGGAAATACTGCCCCCTTCCTTTCACTTTTTTTTGTTGTTGAGCCTTTTATACAAGCCTCTATCTAGCTGAAATGGGAAATAATTGTTCCCCCGTTCATTGCATAGTTTTATCAGTGGAGGCTGCTGAGGGGAGGACGGCTCATAATAATGTCTGGAACGGAGCAAACGGAATGGCATAAAAAAAATGGAAACCATGTATTTGATACCATTCCACAATTCCGCTCCAGCCGTTATCACGAGCCTGTCCTCCCCAATTAAGGTGCCACCAACCTCCTGTGTTTTACCATGCCCATGGATTCTTGCGCTGGAAACTTCCTCCCATATTCTACCGAAAAGCTTCATTACACCAGTAAAACGAGGAATAAAATACATTTTGAATACATTTTTAAATGTGGCAACCTTCTTTCGCCGACATTGACCGGGGTGAGTGGTTTCTGATGAGGATAGTAACAACATCTTAATGACATCAAAGAAATAGGTTGTCTTGAAAAAAATATTAAATTCTAATTTTTCTAATTTTTGTATCACCATCTTAAGTTATCGTGACATTTCATGTTTGTAAAATGGTATTGTTCTTCCGGAAACCCCCCTGAATGACACATTTAGTTTGCAGGATGTAACATTACAGTTGACACAACACAGACGATAAGTCAATGATCTTGAATGAATTGACGCACTGAAAGCTACATTTATCTCAGCCATCATTATATATAGTAGGCAGTATCAACAAAGAACTAGAATATGTATTTTATCTTGATCAAAATGGTTGCAGAAAATGTAACTCCCCTATCACAGTACCTGTTTGGAGCATGCTCTTAAAAGGACAGCACCATGATGTACAAGAAGAGGTGCACAATGTTGCAACAAAGTATTCATAAACCTGTTATTATAAACATTGTCTCTTGAAAGGTTTTTTTTGTTACTTGGTAAAACAACTTTAAAGTCTCTAGGCACTAGACTACCAACCCATTAATCAAATATAGGCCCAGCATTGCATCACATGTTCAGTGTGTCAGTAATTGTAGGTTAAATTAGAGAATAACAGAAGGATGATGTGATGTAGGCCTGAAAAGAGACAAACCCACCACCGTGTATCATATTGATATATGTTTATTAACAGGCGAGTCAATGATGCACGTGTCAACACTACTATGTCTTGTTCGCAATTCAGTTTGTAATACAGCTTGGTACATGATTTGTCAAAGTGAGCTATAGGTCTACTGTACCACATTCTGTGGTTGGTGAAAACAGTCAACATAGCTACATTATTTGGTCTAATAAACAGCAATGCAGAGAAATCAAGTAACACACAATATGAGGCCTACTGTTTGTTTTGTACGTCATACAGTGCCTTCAGAAAGTATTCATACCCCTTGGCTTATTCACATTTTGTGTTACAGCCTGAATTCAAAATTGATTAAATATATGTTTTTTCTCATCCATCTACACACAATACCCCATAATGACAAAGTGAAAACATGTTTTTACAATTTCTTTGCAAATTTATTGAAAATTAAAGACATAAATATATAATTTACTTAAGTATTCACACCACTGAGTCAATACATGTTAGAATCACCTTAGGCAGTGATTACAGCTGTGGTTCTTTCTGGTTAAGTCTCTAAGAGCTTTGCATACCTGGATTGTACAATATTTGCACATTCTTTTTTTTTTTATACTTCAAGCTCTGTCAAGTTGGTTGTTTTCATTGCTAGACAGCCATTTTCAAGTCTTGCCATAGATTGGAACTAGGCCACTCAGGAACATTAAATGTTGTCTTGGTAAGCAACTCCAGTGTATATTTGGCCTTGTGTTTTAGATTATTGTCCTGCTGAAATATGCATTTTTCTCCCAGTGTCTGTTGGAAAGCAGACTGAACCAGGTTTTCCTCTAGGATTTTGCCTGTGCTTAGCTCTATTCTGTTTATTTTTATTTTTAAAAACTCCCTTGCAGATTACAAGCATACCCATAACATGATGTAGCCACCACCATGCTTGATAATATTAAGAGTGGTACTCCGTGATGTGTTGGATTTGCCCCAAACATGACGCTTTGTATTCAGGACATAAAGTTCATTTCTTTGCCAGATTTTTTGCAGTTTTACTTTAGTGCCTTAATGCAAACAGGATGCATGTTTTGGCTTCCTTCTTTTCACTCTGTCATTTAGGTTAGTATTGTGGAGTAACTACAATGTTGTTGATGCATTCTCAGTTTTATCCTATAACAGCCATTAAACCCTGTAACTGTTTTAAAGTCACCATTGGCCTCGTGGTGAAATACCTGAGTGGTTTCCTTCCTCTCTGGCAACTTAGTTAGGAAGGACGCCTGTGTCTTTGTAGTAACTGAGTGTATTGATATACCATCCAAAGTGTAATTAATAACTTCACCATGCTCAAAGGGATATTCAATGTCTTCTTTTTCTTTTCTTTTTTTCATCTACCAATAGCTGCCATTCTTTGCGAGGCATTGGAAAACCTTCCCGGTCTTTGTGTTTGAATCTGTGTTTGAAATTCACTGCTCAACTGAGGGACCTTACAGATAATTGTACGTGTGGGGTACAGAGATGAGGTAGTCATTCAAAATCATGTTAAACACTATTATTGCACACAGAGTGAGTCCATGCAACTTATTATTTGACTTGTTAAGCACATTTTTACTGCTGAACTTATTTAGGCTTTCCATAAGAAAGGGTTTGAATACTTATTGACTCAATACATTTTAGCTTTTGATTTCTAATTAATTTGTAAACATTTCTAAAAACATAATTCCACTTTGACATTATGTGGTATTTTGTGTAGGCCAGTGACACAAAATCTCAATTTAATCCATTTTAAATTCAGGCTGTAACACTAAATGCACAAAAAGTAAACAGGTGTGAATACTTTCTGAATTGAATACTGACATATAGGCCTAATTGAGATAGTGACAAGAAAGAATAGATAAGGGAAAAAAGGTGGGTATTAATTTTGTGAGGAATGATTCTGAATATTTTTAACCATACTTTCAACTCATATAAGAAAGAAACATATGCAAAAGATTAACCTGCACAAACACATTACAATGTATCAAAAGATCAGAGGTATATTTGTAACAAAGTTAAACAAATGCGTTTCTGACAGTAAGTCATGGTATTCTTCCCACAGCCTATGCTGAATATGATTATATTTGACGCTTTGGTATTTAAGTAGGCATAGTGTCACACGTCTGCATAAACATAACAGAGATATCAGAGGTTCATTGAGGTTGCTTGAAGTTGTTAGGGCGTTTGTCTGTCCTGGTAAGTATAGATAAGGTGATTTGTTCAAGAGGCGCTGTTGTCACCTACATACAGTCACTCTTTCGAACAATATACCCCTCTGGCTTTGAGTTCAGTATTATCATGTTATACATACACAAAAGTATATCAATGCATAGAATAATACAAAAATGTCTGTGATGTATTGGTGCAGACAATGCTTAGTCACAAAAAATAAAAACAGTAAACAATCATTCAACAGCATTTCTGTGGGAGGTAGAACACATCGCATTGCAAACTGAAACAAATAAATCATTCACGCAAAATAAATCATTCAAAACAATCTCACAAAAGTAATGGACAAATCCATCTTGATTCAAAAAAATCTGTCATTGTCAATTTTCAAAAACATCCTGAGGTAGACTTGTATAGATTCTTGACAAGGCATTTCTGTCTTGTTCTCATATAGTAAGAACATTTTAATTAAAAAAACACAACCCACTCTAAATAAAATAAAAAGATTAGACCCATTGTCTGGACTTTACAGCCTAAATAGATGAAGGGATAAAATACTAGGCTCAAACCCATATGACTGTGTGTGACATCAAATGGCAAATGTCATAGCCCATCAACACAAGCTCTTGAAAGGTCATCAACAAGGTCATTTATTTTTCTTGATCCCCCACACCGGCCCATTTTCTCCCTCAAGGCGCCCATTATTAGCCAGATAATGATAATTCTGCCCAAAAACCCCAAGTTAGACAGGCCCACTGGGCTAAAAATGGACCAGCCCATCTGGCATTTGCCTGAAATGCCAGATGGCCAGTCCAACCCTGGTCATCAAAATGCTTTGTCTACAAAGGCGGCCATTCTGTAGTCCCTACATGGAGCGGCGAGTCTACTATATTCTAACTACTGACTGACTACCATGCAAAGTAAACACGGGAATAAACAACATTATATTAATATTGTGACGAAGCTGAATATTTACAATAACCGCCGAAAGTGGGGAGGTAGATGGTTTGGTGCTTCAGACTGGTTGTGTGCCACTTCCAGAGAGAGACCACAGAAGTAACTAAGGAAATAGAATTATTCTCTAATACCTACACTGTCTTACAACTTGATCACCAATTAAGTCAGAAAAAGAGAGCAATACTAGGATATAACATGAAATATAGCTAGCTTTACTACAGTAACGTCATAGCAAAGTGTAAATAGTGCATTGCCCTTTTGGATCTTTTGGCAATCAATGTTCTGCATGGGTTTTCCGGCAACCCAGGCTATAGGTACACACATAAAACACTTTACCACTCCTTCCAAAGTAGCTCGTCTTTAAAGGGGTTTCCCTGAGTTCAACATGAGGATTTCAGAGAAACTAAACCCTAGTTGCAGTCATAAGGATCAATGAGCAATTAAGTATCTCTAAGAAATGCCCATACTCCTACACATGATTAGTGCAGAGTATTGTTGCAATGGTTTACGCACAATATATTACGAAGTCAACTGAAAATGAAGCCCATTGAAAGAGACACTGAAAAGTAAAGCATAATCGTTTGCTAAATACAACCATGAAGCTCTCAAGAGCCTACAACCAACGCCAGTTTCAATTTAAACAGAAATGAGCTAGAAATTGTGATACTGTATCAATTAGAGAGGTTTAGAGAGTTAAGACAATGAATAAATAATAAATATAAAAAAGATAACAATATCTATATACATTTAAGTGGTGTACAGTATTCCAGCCACTCCTGTATACGAGGAATGAAGACTAAACTTATAACCATCTTATTCAACACTTGAGTCCCTTTATCATTGCACTCAATCCTGAAAATATGTCCTTGAAGAAAAGAAAGAACACTCAGCTCCATCCAAGAAAGCACATTTTTTCTAAATAGTTTCCAAGTTCAACGAGACAATGATAAACAGGTAATGTATTGGGAAGGGTATGAGAACACCCCTAATATGTATAATATGTTAGAAAGCCATGTCTACATCCATAGTAAAAGCTATGGGACAGACAGAAAGACACAGTCTGTCATACAATCAACGCTGGTCTCGCATTTAGCCTTGAGTCAAAGCTTTGTAAAATGCATGGGAGGAGGCAACATCCAACTACCCATGAGACAAATGAACAGGCTATGGCACATATGACAAGCTGTATTGTACACAGTCCTATCGGCAACCATGGTGTACCAACATTCATAGAGCAGAAAGGGTTAAAACATTCACTTGGCCGAAGAAATGCACAATGACTTATAATACCCAAAGAAGATTTCAATAAGCAGAAAGACAAGAAATAATCTATTTCTGTACATTCACTTGTATGATTGTATTTTCTTTACCTTTTTCTAACAAAAGGTTTTGGGGAAAACACTCACGATCATCTCCAGTAAAATCAACATAGGCTAGCTCTGATTTAGCTGCAGCAGGGGAAATAAAATTAACAGTGCACATACGTACAGTGGTAAAAACTGACAATACAAGGCTTATTGCAGTTTGTAAACACAGTGAGTTTAGATTATTTCAGTATCTAATGCAGAAATAATAACTTCATAGACAGAAAAGGAATTACTTTAAAGTATTTGAGTTGCAAAGAAGGTGGATAGATGTGTCTCTCTGTGCATTAAAACACAGAGCTAACTCTCAATCTCAACTATCGCATCAATAAATTTACCATTTTCTTGCTGTTAGTTCGATGAATAAAGACAGCCTGATGTAGTTCCAAAAGCAGCATTACAATGAAACCTTGTGATTGGCTGAATCCCTGAATGGATCATTCAGTGCTCTCCCTCTGGAGCAAGGGGGCGTGGCTCTGCTCCTCTTTCTCATCCCTCAATGATGATGCTATTCCCTGAGAGCCAGGGAAGGACTGCTGTGCTTTGATTGGACAGTTGGCCACCATGTGGCTGATGCTCTGGCAGAAATGACACTTCTTGGGCTGAGGAGGTAGCTGGCATTCTTTGGCATGGTGGTCAGGTCCTCCACAGTTGTAGCATCTAGAACACAATGGGAGAAGGGGACTCACACTAATACAATGATTTCAGACAGTTAACATATTATTCCACCAGAGGGCAGTGTTCTCCCACATTTAGTTTCAGATTGTTTAATTTCCTCAGATTTAATCTATGATAAGATTAAGTAAATTTTGAGAAAGTATCAGCATTATTAGTATGACTGCCTCTTATGTATGCATAGTTTATTTACTGCATACTTGTGTGTGATCATTTTAGGAGGTGTATAGTGCATTATAACCAATGCCTCAACACATACATTTCACACAATCTCAAATCAGTAGATGTTGTGATTATAGTAACAATGGGGGATTTTGTGATTGCATTAACTCCAATGCAGATGAAGCCCTGGAGCATCAGAGCCTCCCCAAGCTTACTACCACTTCCCTCCTTCCTCTGTCCTCTGCCCTTTGCCTCTGAGTCCCAACCCCCTACCATACACACACCCTCTCCTCTCCTATGGCGCCGTTGATTATTGATCAGTGTGGGCACCAGGGTGGGAGAGGAGAGTAGAGGGGGCTCTTTGTTTCAATACTGCACCCTGACCTCTAACCCCTGACCCCTAGCCTTTCCCCCACCTCATTTACACAACACACCCCACTGTTGCCATGGCAGCCATGATCTATGACCTCTCTCAGGGCACCTACATCTGGTATCAATTAAATGGATCCTTTTCCCTTTTCTGCATCCCCTATTCCCACTTTTGTGTTTGAGAGTCAGTGAGTTTAAATGAATAGGATCCTTTTTCCTCTTTACTTCTGCATCCCACTGTTATGTTTGTGAGTCGGCGAGAGAGACAGAGACAGTGTTAGATACACTCACATCTATGTGGTGTCTGATGTCATAAGACTCAATAGGCTAATAAAAAGCTGGAGCTGGAGCACACACAGAGAACATCACTTAGTGTAGAGGTGTTGACTAACAGCGAATGAACTGCAAGCTATAAAAATAAATAAAGTGAGTTGCACAGTCTATATATTCACTACCAGTCAAAAGTTTGGACACACCTACTCATTCAAGGTTATTTCTTTATTTTTACTATTTTCTACATTGTAGAATAATAGTGAGGACATCAAAACTATGAAATAACACATATGTAATCATGTAGTAACCCCAAAAATATATTTCATATTTGAGATTCTTCAAATAGCCACCCTTTGCCTTGATGACAGCTTTGCACACTCTTGGTTTACTTACCATCCCTACCGATAGTGGCTAATAATAGCATAGGCTATAGCCTACTAGTTGAAGGAAACAGGAAAAGTCGGGGCATACTGTATGATTAAACCATTCTAGAGAGGACTCTTTGCCTTTTTATTGAATCCCTGCAGGTTGAATTACAGTGTATGGAGAATGCTGTTATTTCTATCAGAAAATATATTAATGCTTTTTCTACTTGGAACCGGCAGGTACGCTTGACCTTATTCATGGTTTCCTCGCACGTAAAGGTGGTGGAATTATTAGGGAATTAAATCAAGGTCAGAATACAGTGTGTCTGTAGACACACCTCCGCCACACCTCCATTTCTTTGATCTCCACCCCAAACGCGTACCTTGCTGGCACTGGTATTTTCCCCATGCATAAAAAGGGAATAAAGTTCAATTTATGCTCGCATAACTAGGTCCTGAATTTCCACCAAAGAGGATAAATAAATCAGTTTGATGTCAGACCATTGTAGCTAAAACGGTAAACTTGCCAACTTTCATGATGATGATACCAGATATGTTCAACACCCTCAGAGGATTTGTTAACAACCATGCTACAGATAAGCTCATTGTTAATATTGCAGCGATCTTCATATTTAATAGTATAAGCAGAGTGTTACAGTGTTTCCATATCATGGAATTATTTTGAGTGAGTGGGGATATCTAGAGATGCATGGTTAGGCTATGTGCCATTTAAATAACTGTCTCACCTGTCCCCCTTGGAGCGTCGTTTCTGTTGCCCCTTGGGTGTCTTCTCACAGCCCACACACTGTGCTCCCCCTGGCCCCGTCACCATAACAGACTCTAGGCCTTTAGACGACTTCTTGAAGGTAAACTCCACCGCCTCGCCCTCCTTCAGGCTACGGAAGCCCTCCATGTGCAGCTTGCTCTGTGTAGGTTGAGAGGTGGATTGGATGGTTAGGGATCAGGGTTAGGAAACTGTTCTAAGGCCAGAAGCCCTCCATGTGCAGCTTGCTCTGTGTAGGTTGAGAGGTGGATTGGATGGTTAGGGATCAGGGTTAGGAAACTGTTCTAAGGCCAGAAGCCCTCCATGTCCAGCTTGCTCTGTGAAGGTTGAGAGGGAGCATGAGTGTGGTCGAGGAATGGTTTAGAACGGCATGAGAACTGTTCTAGGTGAGGGTAGAGCGGGAGCTTACTCTGTGAGGGAATGGGGAATGAGTAGTCAGGGTTGGAGAAAGGTTCTTTGGCCAGGGAACTGTTGAGAAGATATGAAAACGGTTCTAAGCCTGTGAAGAACTGTGGAGAACAGTTCTGAGGCCAGATAGGATGCACTTCCTGTGGCTACAGAGTGTGCATTTGTTTCCCAGCCCAATTCCCAGCCTGGTCAGGAAGCAGAGACAAAAAGACTTGAAATGTTATTTTTATTTTATTTTTATTTTTTATGAATTTTACTCTGCCATTGTTTGTGCATATAGCTGGTCCCCTTCACATGTTGTCTTCTGAGGTGATTACAGCTAAGAACTGTTCCTTAATTGGGGTCATACATGCATACATCAGCGTTCTGCATAGGTTTTAATACATCAATGGAAACATCCAGGCCCTCTCACGCACTCTCAGGGGCCAACCTCAGCCAATCCAGATTCTAACCTCAGCCCTCAGCCAATCCAGATTCTAACCTCAGCCCTCAGCCAATCCAGATTCTAACCTCAGCCCTCAGCCAATCCAGATTCTAACCTCAGCCCTCAGCCAATCCAGATTCTAACCTCAGCCCTCAGCCAATCCAGATTCTAACCTCAGCCCTCAGCCAATCCAGATTCTAACCTCAGCCCTCAGCCAATCCAGATTCTAACCTCAGCCCTCAGCCAATCCAGATTCCAGTCCCATTGACAGCCCTGTTAAAACATCAATAACTGCTTGCTTACTACACCCCTCCCCCTTCAGAATGTGTGTGTGTGTGTGTGTGTGTGTGCGTGAACAGTGTTACCCCATCCCCCAAGTTAGTCACAGCATTCCAAACTTCAACCCCCCCTCCCCTTCCTCTCCACCACCACACACAGCAGCCAATAGACTCTCCAAAAGAACTCCACCTGGTCAAGTCCCAGACTGACCACTGCTAAGGATGCTGGGAAAATTAGGGAGGAGGGGGGAGGTGTGCATTCTTGGGATAGCTGCCCAAAAGGCACATAAATAATGGTTTCAAGAATGTATGTGTCCACCTTGAGAAAGACATTTCCTTGCCATTGTCACCCTTAGTCCAGGGGCCCTGGAAAGGGAAGCTTGGATTACATGGCCACCTAGTTCTATCTTCTTCATGTGCTTTGTCAAGTTGCCTGAACAGCGGTAGGTATGACACTAATTTGATACCATTGAGTGTTCCAAATGGATAAGACTAAAGAGCTCAAGGTGAAGAATCATGCCTTGTTCAAGACCTTCCAGAGACACAGAATGTAACACTGATCTGTTTCGCCAACCTGGTCTCAGAGCATTTCGTATTATTCTTTACGTAAATGTAGTATGATGTTATGTTTCGTATGGTATGTATTCATTTGTGGATGTCCATCATCCATTTCGTATGATATGTTACGAATTACAATTCGTATGATGTGACGAATTTGCAAAACGTACAATATGTTATGAATTTCCAAAAGTACAATATTTTACGAATTTGCAAAATGTATGATATGTTATGAAGTCCAATTTGTTGTGGCTAACGTTAGCTAGGTTAGGGGTTAAGGTTAGGGTTAGGAGTTAGGTTAAAGGGTTAAGGTTAGGGGAAGGGTTAGCTAAAAGAGTTAAGGTTAGGGTTGGGGTTAGGGTTAGGGTTAGGGGAAGGGTTAGCTAACATGCTAAGTAGTTGAAAAGTTGCTAATTAGCTAAAATCCTAAAGTTGTGCGTGATGAGATTTCGAACACGCAACCTTTGGGTTTCTAGACGTTTTAACCCTTTTTCTCCCCAATTTCGTGATATCCAATTGGTAGTTACAGTCTTTTCCCATCGCTGCAACTTCCGTACGGAGTCGGGAGAGGCGAAGGTCGAGAGACATGCCTCCTCCAAAACACGACCCTGCCAAGCCGCACTGCTCACTTAAACCAGAAGCCAGCCACACCAATGTGTCGGAGGAAACACCGTACAACTGGCGACCTTGCCAGCGTGCATGCGCCCAGCCCGCCACAGGAGTCGCTAGAGCGCGATGGGACAAGGACATCCCGGCCGGGCAAAACCTCCCGTAACCAGGATGATGCTGTGTGTTGCCTCATGGGTCTCCCGGTCGTGGCCGGCTGCAACACAGCCCGGGATCGAACCCGGATCTGTAGTGATGCCTCAAGCACTGCAGTGCTTTAGACCGCTGCGCCACTCGGGAGGCCCTAACTCCTAACCTTAACCCTAACCTTAACCCCTAACCTAGCTAACGTTAGCCAGCTAGCAAATGTTAGCGTTAGCCACCTAGCTAACGTTAGCCACAACAAATTGGACTTCATAACATATCATACGTTTAGCAAATTCATAAGATATTGTATGTTTTGCAAATCCATAACATAGCATTCAAATTGTCATTTGTAACATATCATACGAAATGGATGATGGACATCCACAAATTAATACATACAGTTGAAGTCAGAAGTTTACATACACCTTAGCCAAATACATTTAAACTCAGTTTTTCACAATTCCTGACTTAGGTCAGTTAGGATCACCACTTTATTTTAAGAATGTGAAATGTCAGAATAATAGTAGAGAGAATGATTTATTTCACCTTTTATTTATTTCATCACATTCCCAGTGGGTCAGAAGTTTACATACACTCAATTAGTATTTGGTAGCATTGCCTTTAAATTGTTTAACTTGGGTCAAACGTTTCGGGTAGCCTTCCACAAGCTTCCCACAATAAGTTGGGTGAATTTTGGCCCATTCCTCCTGACAGAGCTGGTGTAACTGAGTCAGGTTTGTAGGCCTCCTTGCTCGCACACGCTTTTTCAGTTCTGCCCCACAAATGTTCTATAGGATTGAGGTCAGGGCTTTGTGATGGCCACTCCAATACCTTGACTTTGTTGTCCTTAAGCCATTTTGCCACAACTTTGGAAGTATGCTTGGGGTCATTGTCCATTTGGAAGACCCATTTGCGACCAAGCTTTAACTTCCTGACTGATGTCTTGAGATGTTGCTTCAATATGTCCAAATAATTTTCCTTCCTCATGATGCCATCTATTTTGTGAAGTGCACCAGTCCCTCCTGCAGCAAAGCACCCTCACAGCATGATGCTGCCACCCCCGTGCTTCACGGTTGGGATGGTCTTCTTCGGCTTACAAGCTCCCCCTTTTTCCTCCAAACATAACGATGGTCATTATGGCGAAACAGTTCTATTTTTGACCAGAGGACATTTTTCCAAAAAGTACGATCTTTGTCCCCATGTGCAGTTGCAAACCGTAGTCTGGCTTCTTTATGGCAGTTTTGGAGCAGTGGCTTCTTCCTTGCTGAGCGGCCTTTCAGGTTATGTCGATATAGGACTTGTTTTACTGTGGATATAGATACTTTTGTACCTGTTTCCTCCAGCATCTTCACAAGGTCCTTTGCTGTTGTTCTGGGATTGATTTGCACTTTTCGCACCAAAGTATATTCATCTCTAGGAGACAGAACGCGTCTCCTTCCAGAGCGGTATGACAGATGCGTGGTCCCATGGTGTTTATACTTGCGTACTATTGTTTGTACAGATGAACGTGGTACCTTCAGCCGTTTGGAAATTGCTCCCAAGGATGAACCAGACTTATGGGGGTCTACATTTTGTTTTCTGAGGTCTTGGCTGATTTATTTTGATTTTCCCATGATGTCAAGCAAAGAGGCACTGAGTTTGAAGGTAGGCCTTGAAATACATCCACAGCTACACCTCCAATTGACTCAAATTATGTCAATTAGCCTATCATACGCTTCTAAAGCCATGACATTATTTTCTGGAATTTTCCAAGCTGTTTAAAGGCACAGTCAACTTAGTGTATGTACATTTCTGACCCACTGGAATTGTGATACAGTGAATTATAAGTGAAATAATCTGTCTGTAAACAATTGTTGGAAAAATTACTTGTGTCATGCACAAAGTAGATGTCCTAACCAACTTGCCAAAACTATAGCTTGTTAACAAGAAATTTGTGGATTGGTTGAAAAACAAGTTTTAATGACTCCAATCTAAGTGTATGTAAACTTCTGACTTCAACTGTACCATACGAAACGTAACATATCATACTAAATGGAGTGTCTCGGATTTACGTAAATAATAATATGAAATGCTCTGTTTTTGCCTTCAGTAACCTTCTGCCTTCTGTAACAATACCATTTACATTTACATTTTTAGTCATTTAGCAGACGCTCTTATCCAGAGCGACTTACATGAGCAATTAGGGTTAAGTGCCTTGCTCAAGGGCACATCGACAGATTTTTCACCTAGTCGGCTCGGGGATTAGAACCAGCGACCTTTCGGTTACTAGCACAACGCTCTTAACCACTAAGCTACCTGCCCCCCAAACGTATACCAAACGTAACATATTATCCTAATTTGAGTGTCCCGGATTTACATTTACTATGTTACGTCTATTCTATGATACTGGGCTGGTTTCCCAGATTATACTATGCTCATAGATTTTTTCCCCAAGCCAATCTTAAAATGTTGTGGAGCAGCATTTGATGGTGAGAGGGCTGTGATGTGGAGGGTCAGTTTGTGGCCCTTGCATGTCATCAGTCTTAACCCAGACACCCGTCTCTCTTCTGGGGGGTTTGAAGTGATAATGGTGGGAAAGGAATCCAGGTCATGATGGCCTGACAACCTTCAGCATTCCTTCCTCCAGTCCCAACCCCCGTCAGGAGGTGAATGGGCCGGAACTATCCCCTGACCCCCCTGACCTCTCCTCCTTCAATCACCCCCACCCCACCTCTCCCTCTCTCAACTGCTTTCTTGTGAATGAACACAGGTCTCAAACTCTCTCTTTCTCTCTCAGTTTCTGTCAAGCTCATTCTCTTTCACACACCCAACACACACACACTTATACCCCCCCCCCCCCCCCCACACACACACACACACACACACATACACACACACAACCTTACCACCACACACTCTTCATTCACAGATTAGCCAGATTATTCACAGATAGTACAAGATCACAATACAAGATCACAGCCATCAGGATTTCCTCTCTGTTACATTGACAGTAGCAGCCATTGTCCAGCAGCCCCTACAGGCCTGTATGAGGGCAGAGGTGGATTAGGGGACTGGTAATGTGGGTGTTTGATAACCTTTTTATGGGTGAATCACTTGTTTTCTTCCTTAGATTAAGCAATGTACAGGAACATGGAGCAGAGAAATTTGAGGAGAGGACTTTGGTCTTTAGCCCCCAGGTTTACAGAGGGCAGAGGGCTGGGGGTGGATGGCTGGGGAGGGTGGATGGATAGGTTGGGGCTACGGGCAGAGGGGCTGGGTGGGTGGGAGTCAGGGTATGGCTAGTCTGGGGTAGGTGGGAGTCAGGGTATGGCTAGTCTGGGGTGGGTGGGCTGCCACATAAGAGGCCAACTCCCCTGATGTTTGAAGGACTTTATAACAGGAAGCAGGGTTTGATGGGGACTAAGAGGAATGAGCCTTGTTATCTCTGCTTAGACTAACCCCTGTCTCTCTGTCTGCTCCTTTTATGTCCATTTGCTAATATTAGCACTTTCAGACCAATTCCCCATGTAAGTCAATCTCCCCTGTTTAGCATGTATTAAATGTCATGCCCAAACTCTACCTTGAAGTAGCTCAGACCTCTACCTTAACTCAGGAAGGACGGTGGAGATGACAGCATTGGACATTATGGTACTCAGGCCTGTTGATAATCTCCAGGTTCATTTGTCAAAACAACCCTGGAGTCATTAGGCTGTCCTTTAGGATGCTTAGCGTTCTATTGGAAACAACAACTAGATTTTCCCTCCGGCTTTACTAACTTGGCTATACTGTACATGACTCCTAATTCCGACATTTTACAAAACACTTATTCCCCCAACATTTCCTGTCATTCATTATCTGCCTTTGTAAATTTTTTGGAAATAAATGTGACTCTGAAGTGTTTAAAAGATTGTGTGGAAAAAATGTGTCAATATTTTTTTCAAATATTGAACGCATCCGTTGGTATTTCAAAACCAATATTCACATTCAATACATTTCATTTTCTGGTAGGTTTATTAAAACACCAAATACAAACAATCTATTACCATGAAAATTTTATTTTTTTGTCTGTAAATGTTTCATTCATTAGCTAGTTTTAGAGCAATATGATAATACATTTATCTAAAGGCTACCAAATTTTCTAAAGGCGCCAAGAGAACCAACACCTAATCAGAAGCCTAATCAGATGCAACAACTGATCAATTAACCAAGTACTTTTGTTCTTGGCTGGCTTATATCTTACTTTAGAGAGGTTATTTTACATGTCACTTCTTGACAACAACATTAAGTTTCTCATGCAGGCTATAAAGATGATGGGCCTCTGATTCCAGTTATAGCATTGATGGCATATCATCTGAACATAAGATAAACAAAATCTTGTTTTTAGTTTTTAAAGCTACTTGACTTTATTTATCATGCTTGTTTCGATTTGGTAATATTAGCTACATAATAAGTTATAACTGAGTAATAAACGAATGTAGGCCTAATAAGAGTTGTTCAGTCTGTAAGAATAACATTAACCAAATGCACTGCTGAAAAATAGACCTACCTATTTTAGTCAATCCTCAAACTAGAATCAGCTGACTATTTCAAGATAATGTTGTCAAATGTTTAAAAGAGATTAAAAGTAATATTGCCTCTTGCCCAACATATAAGCTATGAAAACATATAAACTATAAATTCGTTTTGAATGAGTGCAGGAAAGTGTTTTTTCAAGCACTATAAACAATTATCGATAGGCCTATATAATTGCATGATCGATAAATTAAAATGCCTAAAATGCACAATCACGGAGGGAAACGAATAATTAACTACCTTAACGAAAACATCACAAAAGTGGGATATTTACATTGTTGATAAATTTAAGACATACACTTGCACAAAAAACGCGCCAAGAGAACCCCTCGGACCTGTTTTGAGCTCGAGACAGGCCTTGACGAACATCAACACCACACTCTTCGAGTCCCAGTCCCACAATAGACCTCACCTGATGAACGAATACATCGACAGTCTCCTCCAGCGGTGTCATATCTCGGTTGGTCATGGACAGGAACCCGAAACCCATCCGGACGTTGAACCATTTACACACGCCGCTGCCACGAGACGAACCCAGATCCTCCTCGGAGCCCGTGGTTTCCTCCTCTTCGGTCTTTGCACAGCCCCCTTTCGAGAGAAAATAATGTCACTCAGTCAGTTTAGAAAATATAGATGTTTCAAATATGGCATGTCTTGTGGCAGGCAAACGAGTTGGGGAGGCTCTTACTCTGATATTTTTCAGCGTCAGTTCTTTGGTTCGACATGAAGAAGGCATTTAATTGGTTGCTTAATGGTAAAGAGCTCGAGAGCAGCGCAGCAAGCTAGGAACACATGGGTGTAAACAATGTTGATATTCGAAACAATGTCGATATATTATCCATACGAATATACTTATTTTTTCTCGAAAAGCTGGTATATTAGTCGGACTCTTTTTCAAGTTGTTTTGAAATGGAAACGTATATGCTAATGGTGATAATAATAAGAATAATAGGTCTAATCATAATAATCATAATAGCCTAATTATACATAACAAGACGATAATAATGATGCATCATTATAAATAATAATATGCGTACTAAATATAGGCTAATCGAAATAATATCGTCAAAATTAATAATTTGAAAAATATACACGTTTTAAATGTATCAACCATTGTAATATTATAGATTTTAACTTGTTGATTTGCACAATACAGGCCTAAATAATTCCCAAGCACGTATGGGATTGACTCTGATAATGTAGCCTAATAAAAGTTTGCCTTTTCATCCCACGAGGAGCCACAAGAACCGAGAACACAATATATTTGAAACTTTGAAGAAAAAATATAGATAATATTCAACTTGAAGATTCAGTTACCAATGAAAAGTATAAAGCAAAATGTATCACCTATAGTCATAATTTATCCCAAAACTTCTAAGCAAGCACTGAAAACCATTCTTCCATGAAAAGAGATTGTAGGTCCCAAATCGAACAATAAATAATTACAACAACATTCTCAGGCAAAAGTGTGTTGTTGCTTTCGGAGAACGTTCCTAATCTAAACACTGATGACCGATCTACCTGTAAACTGCTGTTCGGAATAAGAGCCCATCCCTTTCCCGGGTATATTTTAATCCAGGGTTGCCGTGTCCTCCTCTCCCCAGTCCCCCTGCCCTGCCCTGTCCACCTCCAACCCTCCTCCACTCTACACAACAACACTTTCCCGAATACAGTTTAACAAAGGCGCAGAAGAGGAACGGAACAGCAGTGGAGACAAACAAAGAGGGTTGGAGATACTTTCGCCCTGACAACCAGTGCTGTAAAACTGCTGGGAAGCATTTCTCAAAAGAATCCCCAAATCTGAAAGACAATGCAAGGAAACCCAACCCGCCCTCTTTTTGTCTCTTCTCATAAAGAGATCTTTCCATCGAATCCCCTCCAAGATCTTCAAAGAACCGGTGGAACCATTGCCTGTACCTTCTGCCATGGTTTGGGGGGTTCCTGGGCCTCATACAACTCCAGAAGAATCAGGCAATAAACTCTGGTTTATCGGTGCACGTTTTTCGGTAATCCCTCTTTGGAAAATAGTGTATTTTCCTTCTCCTGGTCTCTTGCACAATATAGAGAGCGAGCCCCCTCTGATCCTCCTATACCTCTAATATCAACCCCCACCTTTTCGGTCCAGTCCACCACGTGATGCTCAATTGCAATCTTCTGGCTGATAAATTAGACATTCCACGGTGATAGGGCCCAAATTCTCCGAGCGACCAATCAGCGGTGAGGACCACCTAGCTGTTAGCAGCGGGGCCTTGAGGGACCCACACCCCGTGCGACCCCCTCCTCTTCCCCGACAGGAGAGAGCCACAACCCCCACACCCCCTGGAGCATATGCGGATAGTCAGTCACTCAGGTGCATAGTTTCACGGAGACCATTCAAATTAAACCTTGCCCTTCCACATTCCACACCACCATGTTTGAAGTTAAAAGGACATCTAAATCCAGTAGCATACATCAACCTATAGCTGTGTTCTGTTTCTGTTTGTTGCATTCACACATGAACACACTAAAAAAGTCACAATAAAATACATCTATAAACGAAACAGAATAGGTTAATATCAGAAAAATAAATGTAGCAATGGGCAGGGAAAAAAATAGAAGACCTTATTAAGGTAGTTGATCTTACAAAAATATCCAGGATAGGCAGGCCTACATGCATTCCCCTTTGTCATTTCGTTTGAAACAATTTTGAGCTAACATATTTTGCTACTGTCATACGTGTTTAGGATTACTATCGACTACACGCTGTAAATAAAGGATAGAAATAAACACCTATCTCTTGAGATATTAGTTCCACACAACCCTCCTGTGAATGTTGCTCTTATAATTCACCATAACTTGCTTGTTATTTGTGTCCTAGCTTGGGGGTGCACCGTCCGTGAAAGGCGGTTTAAGAGGTTGGTTTCCCTCAGAATCGCGAACGGATACAGATAATGAATGTGAACGTAAACAGAGGGGTTGTGTTGCCTTGTGTGAGAGGGGGAGGGCCTATCCTTATAGACTACAAGGCTAGGGCACATTATTACGGATGCATTGTTATAATTTTGTAGTGCCCTCTCAATATTGGTAAGTTTAAATGGAAAATAAATCCAGATAGAACCACCTTGAAATTAATCCAAAAAGTTGAGTGAAGAGTCACTCCTACAAATCCGACTATTTCTCATCATCTCAATTGTGATTGGGAGGATGAAAAAACAATCTAGAAAAATAAGACGTTTACAGGCTACCAATGCAATCCCCTGCAATGAGACAATTCCCCCTGATGGGAACTGCAGACTAAACGTGAGGTAACAATAGGATAAAAAGCTGGGTAACAGAACAAGTAATCATGTGTAAAACACACCAAGTCACACACACACAATAGCCCTACTTCATAGTGCCCATATATTTGGCATATATTTCAAGTTAACAGAGGGAAAAAATGGGCTACTCACCACAATTGGGATCTTTTGGACACATTTTAGAAAGTAATTCTTGGTGAGCTCTTCAAAGGCAAGGCTATACGTAAAACATGTCAGTACCTTCACCGACTTGACAGATCTTGACACGGGTATTTATGGCCTCTGAAACCCAACGGTTCAGGAACCCTGCTGAAGCATTTGAATAATTAGCGACGATGAGTCACCTTTACCGGATCTGTGCTCTAACTCAGCCATCAACGCTTTCCAATGGCAGCTGTCATGACATTGACAATGCAGGTGTCATCCGGCTTTCCTCTAAGCACTGAGTACACAGCATGAACTCAATAGGCTACAAGACTTCATTTGATACAAGTCAGTTAAAATGTCGGATAATTAAAATGACTAAGATAACTTGGGTTGTGGGAATGAGCTGCATCATAAGTGGAAAGACCATCCACCTGTTGCGGTAAAGCGCCTGACAAAGACAGTGACTCACGTGCATCAATAGTAAAACGTGTTACCTTGTCGGATACAGGAAACGGAAACCAATCGCACGTTGTGAACAGGACACTTTGAGGCCGTGCATGTCCGTTGGGCAGCTGGTGCACGGGGCCATATGGGACCCTTGTCACCTGCACCCTCGTGCCTTACCCTTCTTCTTTACATGTGGGCCAACGACACCTGTGAGATAAGGCGCCCCCATGATGAACGGGAAGCAGAGGAGGGAGTCATTTTGGGATGGACATAGGATCCTCCATCTTACCAAACCATGAGTTATCTTAGAGCATTACCCACTGGACAGAAAGAGAGAGAGAGCGCTAGGGAGAGAGAGCGAGAGAGGGAGAATGGCAGATAGAGAAATAGAGATATAGAGGTGAGAGGGAGAAAGAAAAAGAGGGAGAGGGGCAGATGGAGGGATGGAGGGACAGAGAGAGAGAGAGAGAACGAGATGGCTAGAGAGAGGTGTTAGCTATTTAAAGCTATATGACTGGTTTCATTCATATTCTCCTCTAATAATCTCTCAGGCTTGCTGCTACACTGCAGGCTTCTCTGGGTCACCATGGAGATGAAGGGCCCAGGATATGTTGGTCAGAGCACAAAGAGGGCTGGCCTTAAGGTGACCCCTGTCACACACAGGGGCTTAGTAATTACAATGCCTCGACATGTGCTCACTGGTCACACACACTGCAAACCCCCACCCAACTTCCACACACACGCATGCTAGCAAACACACAAATGCATACACCCACACTACCAGATGTTATGTAATAGTGACTGAAAGGGCAGAGGGTTCTATCTATCTTACCCCTCTCATGGTTGTTGACTATCATTCCTGTAACAGCAGGCAAGATATCTGTAAGATTATCTACAACCAGGCTGCAAAAGTGTATAGTGTTTCTCTTTTGACATGAGTTAATTAATTGAATGTGTGTGTGTGTGTCTGTCTGTGTCTGTGTGTGTGCGCACACATGTGTGTGTTGTTGGGGGCATGAGGTGTACTGATCCATGTTTTCATATCAATAATTGCTTTGAGGAGTAGTTGACCTGAGAAACATGTTAGGGCCTTGTGGTTGGTTGAAGGAGAAAACAGCCCAGTGGCTCCATATGGTTTCAGCTGTCAGCTCCCCTCTCCCCTTCCTCCCCCAGGGGACAGAGCACTGATCAATAACCTGATCCATCTATACCTGATCCATACATCATACTGTGACGCTCTGACAGGAAGCCCTCTCTCTCACTTTTTCTCTCTTCCTTACTCCCACAAAAAACATTTCCTTACAAAAGCCTGTGGCTTTTATATCAATTTTTTTTTTTTCAATCACTGTGGTACATTTTTCAGATGCAAGTGGCATATTTTTTATAACTGATAACACTTGTCTTATGTTCAGAATCTTTGATTGAGCATTCATTGGAGTTAAACATTTATTTCACCCCTGAGTTATTCATGCAATATCAACGTTTTTCGTGAAATACCATGAGAACATTTTGTTTAGTCACCAATACATCAGATAATGATAGGCTCACCGTTTAGTCATTTTAATTAACGTAATCCAATTGTAACAACTGCATGATACAATTTTAAAAACTGATATTTTTGAAGTGCTGAATAGAAGGAATAAAATAAGGTAAATACAATTTTTAATAAAGTATTTAGCTATGTACAGTATGTACTATTTTTCAAGTTTATGGCAAATATTATTATTTTTTCAGCATTTGTTTGTATCCAATGTAAAGTTTTGAGCATGTTGAGAAAAATGTCAGTTTTACAGTTTCAGTATCCTTACTGTAAACAGCACATACGTAGAATAAATCATCAGATATAGGAGTATTGTGGCATGTACTGTAAATCAGAAGCCTACAGTAAAAAGGTATTGGTGTAGCCTGGTATATGTATCCCATTTCTGCCCCATGCAACATTGCACAAGATTAACTTTTCTATGTGACTTGTTACTGTAACTGCTACAGTATCACCTCTCTCGCTCTGCTTGACAAACTAATCAGCTTACAGTGTATCAGTGAAACTCAGATAATAAGTGAAATATACTGCAATTTACAAACCAAGTATTTCAGCATTTCAGCAGTGCAATGTATACTTCTGCACCATAAGTTCAAATGGTAGCACATAGAGTAACTCTTTACACTTTGCCCTACTGTATTGAAGCACACTGGCTGATGTAGGATGATAATGATGTAGTAATTACAGCCACATCCATATATAATTTGGTTTTACCTTCCAACCTAAATTGATGTAAATTGATACATTTATGGTGTTAAAATAGAGCATTTTACAGTGCTCAGCAGTTCTCAAACTATATACGTAAGCTAGGCACTATACCATTTTGAATAAGCAGTTCTTCGTTTTGAGCAGTTTGATTAAGTGATAGTTAAATGTATGTATTGTTAGCCAATTACAAGAAATCTTATCAAAAGTAATGTGAGTATTGCATTGTGAAAATCAGATACTTAGTTTGAATATGTATGTAAATGAAAAGAGCGATTTGGTGCAGTGAACAAGAGACTTTGAATTTTTTGTTGTTGTACTCAGTCAATTGAAAATGTGCTCAGAGTTTTGAAACATGAGTCATTTTGATGATCTGTTTAGATTTTTGTGTCTACAGTTGTGAAAATGTACCACATAGTTGTTAAAATTGCAGCAAAGTGATTGAAAAAAACGGTAATAAGTTACATACCCTATACATTCATGTCGAAGTATTCTGATTGCAGGTTAACCGTTTTAAAAATGGAATAACATGTAGCTAACCGTGTTTGATTGGTTAATGTGTTGTTACTTGTTAAAGTCAGTACAATGGAATAAGACTATTGAGGCTGTTGTGAGATCTGATTAAGGTAAGACAGTCCATCTCCAAGCCATCTGCTGAGGGAGCCAATACATCAAACTGCTGTGACACTGTCACTGTTGGTTTTGCTGATTACCTGCCAATAGGGGTTGAGAAACAGAGATACTAAAAACAGTTCATTTTCACATACATTTTTCAGATATTCTACAGTCGTGTGTGTGTGTCAGAGCAGAGAACATTTCTGGCTGGCGTTTGACGATAAACGTTAAAGTAGCATTTATATGTCACACACACCGGATAGGTGCAGTGAAATGTGTTGATTTACAGGGTCAGCACAGAGCCCACGGAGCAAATTAGGGTTAAGTGCCTTGCTCAAGGGCATATCGAAATACTTTTCACTTTGTCGGCTAGGGTATTCGAACCAGCGACCTTTCGGTTACTGGCCCAACGCTCTAACCTAACCACTAGACTATTTCAGCACCTTGGACAGCTATTACACCTACAGCGAAAGCTCTAAAAACAAACTGTTGATGATTTCTGAAAGTTAGATCTGGCACTCGACGAAGACTGTTAGTCAGAAGAAGCGTTCATATATCAAGCCACAATGTTGCATTTTTTCATAAAGCTTCAAACATTCAAATCACTTTATGCAGAATCAAGTCAATTCCTGAGCTAGAACACGGGATTGATGATTGACTTCAAGGTGTCTCTATTTACATTTTAACTAATCATGTGTCGATCGATATCGTTATTCGATAACGAAAAGCGCCCATGTATAAATGTTGTGAACCCATCCCTTGTGGTGCATGGTACTATAGTCTACCTTTCAATTCGTCTCACAATTCAAACTCGTTTTAATGATACATTGCCTCCCCCTGGTGGTGACAGATGTATATGCATGGACACAGTGAGAGATTACATTAAATTCGTCCTCTCTCTCCATCATCACTGAATGCCACTGAACGGGTCACTTTCATTAATAGTGTGTGGCTCGGATCCACACCAGTCATATTTCTCACATCAAGAAGATTACTGTAAAACAATGTCTCTCTCATCCCACTAGATGTCGCTCTGGTTCTGTTACACATTTGCAGAGGCCTAAACTGGATCGAGGCTTGTTTGAATTAAATAGATAGAGTTTATATTTTTTGTGCATGAAACCTAAAGACACACACATATACAAATCATAATGAAGACAACATCAACAGAAGAACATAATGAAAAACCATTTTGTTAGCTATATATGCTAGTGATCTTTTAGCCAAAAAAAGAAGAAGACAACAATGAAAAATAAGAAGCCTTAGGCTATAGAAAGCAACATAAGCACAGTCAGGGGCCCTCCATAACAGAAAAGCCTGACTGATTATTATGGAGAGAAGCGAGCTGTGCCAGTGGGCTCGATTCGAGGAGAAGATCCTAGCCGTGGGTGTCCACTCCACTCCGGTTCCCAGTGCGCGCTGCCGGTGCTGCGGCTCTAATCCACCGTGTGAGTGGGTATTTTTCTGCCTCCAAGGAGCTAATCTTGCCAGGGCTTCTAGCTCGTCCAAAAGGATGGTGGTGGTGGGTGGCATCATCTTTCATCTCAACCGTCAACTTCGAAGCTTCCACATATTTAAATGTTTTAATGGTTTCGACATAGGCCCACTCAGCCCACAGATGCTTCGTTGAATTGGAAATCTCCTGTGTGAAACGCAATAATGCTCAAGAAGAAGTAGGCTATTTCAAAGATTTATGATTCAGATTTTTTTGCTGTTATCTTTATTGGCAAGGAACAAAATAACTCTGAAAAGGCGCTCATCTGGGGCCACACAAGGGCACTTAGCCCTCGTTGTTATTTTATGTTTATTAAAATGTAATCGCTTTCACTCTCCACTACCATATACTGACAAACTGTGTTCTACAGCCTGTAGACATAGGCTGTTTCATATAGGCAAAATCGTACAAGTTGAATCTCTTTTGTTCAATAAATTGTAGATGTTAGTCAATGTGTCCAAATTGTAACATATAGCCCACATAGCCTATAGTGTGACCAGCCAAATTATCTGTGAGAGAAAGGCTTTTGAAATAGGAGGATCTTTTGAAATAGGAGGATAGCAAGAGAATGCAACGCAGCCTACTTATATTTCTACACATATATACTGAGTTAAAGTAACCATATTAGGCTACAGCACAAACAAAGGCAAAAGTAATAGGCTACCCATTGGTTCCACGCGCGCTCTATTTTCCTCTCAAAGCAGTGCGCGGGATTAATCCATAGACATTAAAACCAGGGTTAATCCCACCCACTCTGCTCGCCCCCACATCGCACCATCGAGCGCTGTGCTCAGCCTCCTCCTCTTCCTCTACCCCTTCCTCCTTCTCCTGCTGTGTGTGGCGAGAAAACGATAGATATAAAAGCAGTCTGCCTAAAACCGCATGTCGACCTAGCGCAGACTATTAAATTTCGACAAATTCTACCGTTCTGGATATGTGATGGATTATAACGGTTTGTTCCCTGAAGAGCAGGTTCAAATGCATAATCAAGGTAGAGAAGAGACGCGGATAAACAAGGGGTAGAGGTAGCAGGCGAGCGGAGAGCACTTGCAGAAGACAAAGGTAACTGTGCTACGAACTATGTGATGAATTAACAGCCGAGAAGAACAGCTGGGAGTTTGCAGGAAGCATAGTTTGAAAAAAAAACTCGAGAGATTGGCTTTTGAAATATGAACAGAGCGACATGCTTTCTCTGCCTCCTCTCTCTGTGGAATCTACAAATGAGCTCTCCGCGATCGGGAAGCATAAAACCCCTAAAATGACGATGCCCTGAAATAGTAATGACAGTCAGTCGTCAGGAGAAGCTAAACCGTAACCGTTAGAGACTGATGTGCTATTCGTGGATAGAGGCAGAAAACTAAGGACAAATGAGAGATTCGTTTAAAAACACATTACCAGGAAATTATGATGGTTTGACAGGCTATAGCTTAGATGTTTGAAGGGACATGTATTTGATTCTTTGCGTTCAAGTCAGACGTCGAACTCAAGCCACGAACGCTGGCACTCTGAACTCTATGACGAAACGCGCAAACCACTGTAGTGATTGAGTGGCTTTTCCCACATTCTTCTCATGCTAAGTGTGTATACTTGAAGACTTCACATGTTGATGGAAGAGACTGACATAGATCTACATACGCTATAGTTTCGACGAAAGCAATCGACCGCTCGACTGTCCATTCATCTCAGCAACTCAGCACAGAGTGTTCTACTAAGCTTCTTTCAGCACCAGGGACAGCTACCAAAATGACACGGCTGCGCAAGAAAGCTTTCATTGCACTTTTCTTATTCACCCTCTTCATTTTCGGGACCATGATGGGCCTCAGAACACTGAAACCCAGCGATGGCTTCTCAGACCTGGCCCCGGGGATGGGAGAATTTGTGGGGGAAAGAGGAGGCGACCGGCGACGGCCAGTTTCAAACGACATGGTAGTTTCCCCTGGTCAGTCCCATCTAGCCAGCGACACCAAAGTCGTCTTCACAAAATCCGACCGTGACTACAGTATATTCTACGACGTACAAATCTTCTATTACCTATGGTACGGCACCCCACAGATGGACGGTAAATATATTCACTGGGACCATGTTCTAGTACCGCACTGGGACCCTAAGATCGCCGCCAGCCACGCCAAAGGAAGACACACTCCTCCCGAGGACATAGCGTCGAGTTTCTACCCGGAGCTAGGACCATACAGTTCCAGAGACCCCACCGTGCTGGAGTCACACATGTCGCAGATTGAAGCGGCTGCAGCAGGTAAGGGATTTCGGCACCACTTACCCCTCAAAACTGAAATATTATCATCAAATGGTGTCCTGGACATGATACTGTACCTCTCAAATATTAAAGTATTGAAGTAGCTTCACTTAAACTCCCCAATTCAATCTGCACCAATGTTGTGCACCTCATACTTTTGAGCTTTCATAGGAAGGGGGATGTGTTATAGACCTACCCTCATGTCAATAGTCATACCAAAGACTGTACTCACTAACTGTTTCCTCCCCAGGGGTTCTGGTTCTGTCATGGTACCCACCTGGCATTGCAGACAACCATGGTGAGCCATGTGAAGACCTGGTGCCTGCTGTCATGGACGCTGCCTACAGACACAGCATCAAGGTAACTGGTGAGAGAACCGGTATGTTTTTACACTTTCTGGTGGTTTACTGAATTAATAAATGTCTGGCTACGGGGTTGGGGTCGATTCCATTCCAATTCAGTCAATTGGAATTTCAGTTTTCTTCCAGAATGGACTGAATTCAAAAGGAATTGGCCTCAACCCTGGCTGGCTAGGTGGCAGTGATGATTGGTTGGTAGGTGCTTAAGGATTTATGTTATTCACTCAGATTATAAACTTGAGATTCAGAAAACAGACCTACGTCTTGTGTAACAGCATGTCACAAGAGACTATGTTAACTCTGACCTTTGTTGTAGTAGTCTAAGTGAGTATCAGTCATGGCCTTTGAAATATTCATGTTAGAAAAACAGCCAATGTGTATGTCATAACTTCACTGTGTTCCCTCAAAGACAAACGCAATGCATTTCGTTTTTAGAGGGTGAAGTGTGTGATATTGGTTTTGGAATGTATTTTCTATGCCTAAAACCATCTGTTCTAGCCCATTTTCTTCCTCCATCTCCTATATTATTGATGTAGTCAGAGAAAACAAATTTCTTCAAAAACCTCTGAAGGTCCTCTGAAGGCAGACTTATTTTTCTTCAGGATTTTAAAACCAAAGGAAGACCGTTTCGAATTGACTTGGAGGAGTGACTCAGGGAATATGGTTCAAGGCAGCATTGGCCTCAGAGGCATAACTGGGACTGACCATGCAGCCTGAGGCCTGTGTGCATGGCACGAGAGGGTCTCTCTCTCTCTCTCTCTCTCACACACGCACGCATGCACTCACACACACACACACACACACACACACACACACACACACACACACACACACACACACAGCATAAACCCATAGCATGCTGAAGGTGCCTTTGACAGAACAGTGCGAAGCAAGCTACAGCAAGCTTAGTGCAGAGTTAGTTAAATAAAGCCCAAGGTTCTTCCTTCCATCCGCTTTCATATTTACAATATGGCAGGCTTACATTAGCAGAAGACAGTGCAGACCTTTATTTCCAACAGTGTGTGTAGTGTGGAATTGAATGAATAATGAGAAGTACTGTAGGTCTGTTTGGGACTTACACAACAGTAACAGTTTGTATCTCTGTATGACTAACCTGAGGGCTAACACTGCAATGTTCTGTTCCAACCAGTGTTCTAGAATCACTGCCACACAGGAAATATAGGTTGAGGTAGAGGGACAGAGAGATTTCTTTCCTTGCATAATTCCTCAGTGTATCAGTGCCGACCTATGTATTTTCTACTCATATAGCCTTTAATATGCGCGCTCACTGTTCCATTCACTGACTTTGTTTACTTGATCAACACATTAAATCATGAATAAGAATTTACAGAGCCTAATGTGTAAACATTAAACTGCCTCAGGCTTAGTTGATTATTACTTCTCACAATAAAAACACAATGATAAAACAAACATCTGTGTTAAATATTTAGATGTTTCTATCACGATCAACGTCCCAAGTTTACAGTCAGCGTAGCTACACCTAAGGGCAGAATGCAAATAGGAGAATCTGTTCCCACTACCCTACACGACGTGTGAACAAACAAACTGAAAAACCGCTTCTCATCCCCTGTACACACACACACACACACACACACACACACACAGTTTTTTCAGATGAGGAAAGGGACAGATTGAACAGCACAGAAGCTCACCTTGCCGCTCGGCCTCTCTGATTTCAAAACCAGCGAAGACACAAACTGACAGCCCAGCGAGCGAGTGAGCCCGGTCGCTGCCGTGCCAAACACTGTGTTGCCATGGAAACTGTTTATGAAGGAGAGCCAGAGAGAGGGTGTGGGTGTTCTTTCCTTTCTATCTAGCCCGCCACGCTCCGTCATGGCTCAACGATTCTATCAGCGGTTGTCGGTGAGCTGAAGTAGACCTTTTGCTATACAGCAGCTGAGGTAAACTTCCTAGTCGTCAGGCAGTTTAACCCTGGTCCCAAATCTGTTTGTGCTGTCTCGACAATGACAGTAGGTGTTGGCTATACAGCACAAACAGATCTGGAATCAGTCTAACCCTGGGGTGAGAGAGGGCAGCCATCACTCAACTGTATGTCAGCCCTGCTGTCACAGTCCCATTCATGTCATTTGGATCATACACAGTCATCTGTGTCACACAGCAATCACAGTCATCTGAATGCTGAGAGACTCCCTGTTGATCCTTCAAGGTGTGGTGTGTGGAATGTGGATCCGATCCAGGTCTCCCTGGAAAAAGTTTTTAAACCTCAAGGGATTTCATCCTGGTTGGATGTACAGTGGGGAAAAAAAGTATTTAGTCAGCCACCAATTGTGCAAGTTCTCCCACTTAAAAAGATGAGAGAGGCCTGTAATTTTCATCATAGGTACACGTAAACTATGACAGACAAAATGAGAAAAAAAATTCCAGAAAATCACATTGTAGGATTTCTAATGAATTGATTTGCAAATTATGGTGGAAAATAAGTATTTGGTCAATAACAAAAGTTTCTCAATACTTTGTTATATACCCTTTGTTGGCAATGACACAGGTCAAACGTTTTCTGTAAGTCTTCACAAGGTTTTCACACACTGTTGCTGGTATTTTGGCCCATTCCTCCATGCAGATCTCCTATAGAGCAGTGATGTTTTGGGGCTGTCGCTGGGCAACACAGACTTTCAACTCCCTCCAAAGATTTTCTATGGGGTTGAGATCTGGAGACTGGCTAGGCCACTCCAGGACCTTGAAATGCTTCTTACGAAGCCACTCCTTCGTTGCCCGGGCGATGTGTTTGGGATCATTGTCATGCTGAAAGACCCAGCCACGTTTCATCTTCAATGCCCTTGCTGATGGAAGGAGGTTTTCACTCAAAATCTCACGATACATGGCCCCATTCATTCTTTCCTTTACACGGATCAGTCGTCCTGGTCCCTTTGCAGAAAAACAGCCCCAAAGCATGATGTTTCCACCCCCATGCTTCACAGTAGGTATGGTGTTCTTTGGATGCAACTCAGCATTCTTTGTCCTCCAAACACGACGAGTTGAGTTTTTACCAAAAAGTTCTATTTTGGTTTCATCTGACCATATGACATTCTCCCAATCCTCTTCTGGATCATCCAAATGCACTCTAGCAAACTTCAGACGGGCCTGGACATGTACTGGCTTAAGCAGGTGTCACGCCCTGACTCTGAGGACTCTTATTTGTTGAGTCAGGGTGTGATTTTCCTTGTTGTGTTTGTTCATTGTTGTAGAATCTAGTATGTCTAGATCTATGTTGGCCGGTGTGGTTCTCAATCAGAGGCAGCTGTCGCTCGTTGTCTCTGATTGGGGACCATACTTAGGCAGCCTATTGGCACTAGTGGGTTGTGGGATCTTGTTCCGTGTTAAGGTATGTTGTGTTTGTCTACCTTGGACTTCACGTATCGTTTGTTTATTGTTTTGTCATTGTGTTTATTCGTTAATAAACATGAATGCATATCACGCTGCGCCTTGGTCCTTCTCGTTCGTCAACGATCGTGACAGCAGGGGGACACGTCTGGCACTGCAGGATTTGAGTCCCTGGCGGCGTAGTGTGTTACTGATGGTAGGCTTTGTTACTTTGGTCCCAGCTCTCTGCAGGTCATTCACTAGGTCCCCCCGTGTGGTTCTGGGATTTTTGCTCACCGTTCTTGTGATCATTTTGACCCCACGGGGTGAGATCTTGCGTGGAGCCCCAGATTGAGGGAGATTATCAGTGGTCTTGTATGTCTTCCATTTCCTAATAATTGCTCCCACAGTTGATTTCTTCAAACCAAGCTGCTTACCTATTGCAGATTCAGTCTTCCCAGCCTGGTGCAGGTCTACAATTTTGTTTCTGGTGTACTTTGACAGCTCTTTGGTCTTGGCCATAGTGGAGTTTGGAGTGTGACTGTTTGAGGTTGTGGACAGGTGTCTTTTATACTGATAACAAGTTTAAACAGGTGCCATTAATACAGGTAACGAGTGGAGGACAGAGGAGCCTCTTAAAGAAGAAGTTACAGGTCTGTGAGAGTCAGAAATCTTGCTTGTTTGTAGGTGACTAAATACTTATTTTCCACCATAATTTGCAAATAAATTCATTAACAATCCTACAATGTGATTTTCTGGATTTCTTTTCCTCAATTTGTCTGTCATAGTTGACGTGTACCTATGATGAAAATTACAGGCCTCTCTCATCTTTTTAAGTGGGATAACTTGCACAATTGGTGGCTGACTAAATACTTTTTTCCCCCACTGTATATACCTTATATGTATGCCATCTACTGTATCTCCAAGTAAGGACATGGTGTGCTTCATTGAAAGGTTGGCAGGCATTGTCTCTCAGTTGCAGCAAAGACAGTCACAGAGAGAAAAAGGCCTTAGATAATACTTTAAGGTAGAGAGTATTATTTGCCTTAAAGTAGAGAGCAGTATCGTGGTTATTATCTATCTCCAGCAGATAAAGTTCACTGCAGGACCACTGGAAGGAATATATAACTCCAAATCACTTTTCTTTTTTTAAAGGAGGATGGAGGATCACTTGAGACATGACAGAGAGGTTGAGGTCCTGAGTTTAGATATTGGATATGACTGCTGGAAGCTAGGAGTCGCTACTTCAGCGGTCCGCTCTTTCTCATCCTCCTCCCAGTCTTGTTTTTCAGTTTTCATGAAACAAAAACTCACTCCACATCCAGCTCCTCTCTCTAAATGTAGCTCCTGCCCTGTGCCATTCCATTGCCTTATGTCCTTACTCTCGGGATACAAGCGCTCTCTCTCACACTCACACACACACACCCACATCGACACACACACACACACGCACGCGCACACACACACACACACCCTATGAGGCCCTGGAGTCAGAGAAGGATTTGTAGATGATCTGCCAGCTATAGGCAACCTCTGATTGGCTGATCCCAGCCCGGAGGCCTCTGACACACACAATAGTCTGACAGGATCAATTTCATCCGTTCGATTAGTCCCCAAAATAACTGTTATTCTGGAAGGACACTGGGGTCCATGACATTTGATTAAACACATATTGCACATTAATTCCCTGAGGAACAGGTTCTACACTCTTAGAAAAAAGAGGTGAACCCATAGGAGAACCCTTTCTGGTTCCAGGTGGGACCCTTTTTGGTTCCAGGTAGAACTCTTTTTGGTTCCATGTAGAACCTTCTCCTACATGGAACTCAAAAGGGTTCTACCTGGAACCAAAAAGGTTTCTTCAAAGGGTTCTCCTATGGGGACAGCCGAAGAACCCTTTTAGGTCCTAGATAGCAAAAAAAATTCTAAGAGTGTACTATTTAAATAATATGCCATTTAGCAGACGCTTTTATCCAAAGCGACTTACAGTCATGCGTGCATACATTTTTTGTGTATGGGTGGTCCCGGGGATCGAACCCACTACCTTGGCGTTACAAGCGCCGTGCTCTACCAGCTGAGCTACAGAGGACCATTTACTGATGGATATGCCAGTTGGAGGGTAAATGACGAAACGCATTGGTTTGGAACAATAATCCGAATCACTTTAGTCGCCAAGTACGTGTACAAATACCCAGAATTTGACTCAGTGAATAGGTGCTGCCAGCAATAGACATTGTACAAACAGAAAACAGACACATAGTCAACATACAGAATATACTGTATAATACACTCTTTAAAAAAAGGTTTATCTAGAACCTAAAAGGGTTCTTCGGCTGTCCCCATAGGAGAACCCTTTGAAGAACCCTTTTGGGTTCCATGTAGAACCCTTTCCACAGAGGGTTCTACATGGAACCAAAAAGGGCTCTACCTGGAACCAAAAATAGTTATCCTATGGGGACAGCCGAAGAACCCCTTTGGAACCCTTTTTTCAAACAGTGTATAAATACAGTAAATTCTGTTCATGTACCTTTGTTGGAAAGAACGGTATTGACAGTATTTATTATTTCTCTATGCCAGTGCATTGAACAGTCAAACAGATGGTGCTCACCACACCTTACCAATTGAATTCTGAAGGCATTGCCTTACTGCATTTCAATACAACAATCAAATGGCAATGTGCTGATATACTAATGAATGTGAACATTGCTTTTCATTACTTCTTAATTTACAGGACAGTGTTTACATTCAAGTGGTATAATAATGCTTCAAAGACCTTGAAAATGTGTATTGCATACAGTATTGTCCTCTTTATTAAGGGTTTATTATGATCAGTCTCCCTACTCTGTTCACACAGGTGGCGTTTCACATCCAGCCGTACAAGGGACGGACTGACCTCAGCATGCATGATAACATCAAATACATCATTGACAAGTAGGTTGACCTTCCACTGTCCTATACATCAACATGTCCTCTTATCTCTCTTTCTTTCTTCTCTCTCTCAAACTACATCATTGACAATTCACATATCTCTCCAATCCTCTTCTCTCTAGATCATTTATTTTTTACATTTTTTGTCATTTTGCAGATGCTCTTATCCAGAGCGACTTACAGTAGTGAGTGCATACATATGTATACTTTTCTTTCATACTGGTCCCCCGTGGGAATTGGGTTGTGAGTACCCACAACCCTGCAAGTGCCATGCTCTAACAACTGAGCAACACATTGACAAGTAGGTTGGACTTCCGACTGTTCTGTACATCCACTTCCTCTAGCCAGCCACTCCACTTCTCCTCTAATCTCTTCTCCTTTCCTCTCTCCACTCCCCTCCCTCTATCTCCACTCTCACTCCCCACTTCTCTCTTCCTTTCTCTCTCTCTGCCTCACTCTCGCTCTCAAACTCGCACTCGCACTCATACAGATTAAGATTTTCTTATCACTTACTTTAAGCCAAAGGTCAGAGCTCTGCTTTCCATGTCAATGTCCAGTGACTGGAGGTCTAGGGATCTGGAGAAATCGGAGCCTTCTTCAGGTCTGAAGGAGGTAGAGAGAATGAAACCGCAAGTAGTGGTGAAAGTGATTGTATCACTTTCACTTTCACTTTTAGAGTATTACTCTGAGGGCTTGAGACAATTGATAGTGCCACTAAAAGATTAGTACCTGTGGGAAAATTTATAAAAAGAGTTGGAAGAGACCAGTAGTAGCCTGCATGTCCCAGATCTGTTTGTGCAGTCTTGTCAACTCCTATGGTCATTATCTGTTTGTGCAGTCTTGTCAACTCCTATGGTCATTGTCATGCCAAACATATTTAGAACAACGACTATACATACAGTGGGGAAAAAATGTATTTAGTCAGCCACCAATTGTGCAAGTTCTCCCACTTAAAAAGATGAGAGAGGCCTGTAATTTTCATCATAGGTACACGTCAACTATGACCGACAAAATGAGAAAAATAATTCCAAAAAATCACATTGTAGGATTTTTTATGAATTTATTTGCAAATTATGGTGGAAAATTAGTATTTGGTCAATAACAAAAGTTTCTCATTACTTTGTTATATACCCTTTGTTAGCAATGACACAGGACAAACGTTTTCTGTAAGTCTTCACAAGGTTTTCACACACTGTTGCTGGTATTTTGGCCCATTCCTCCATGCAGATCTCCTCTAGAGCAGTGATGTTTTGGGGCTGTCGCTGGGCAACACAGACTTTCAACTCCCTCCAAAGATTTTCTATGGGGTTGAGATCTGGAGACTGGCTAGGCCACTCCAGGACCTTGAAATGCTTCTTACGAAGCCACTCCTTTGTTGCCCGGGCGGTGTGTTTGGGATCATTGTCATGCTGAAAGACCCAGCCACGTTTCATCTTAAATGCCCTTGCTGATGGAAGGAGGTTTTCACTCAAAATCTCACGATACATGGCCCCATTCATTCTTTCCTTTACACGGATCAGTCGTCCTGGTCCCTATGCAGAAAAACAGCCCCAAAGCATGATGTTTCCACCCCCATGCTTCACAGTATGTATGGTGTTCTTTGGATGCAACTCAGCATTCTTTGTCCTCCAAACACGACGAGTTGAGTTTTTACCAAAAAGTTATATTTTGGTTTCATCTGACCATATGACATTCTCCCAATTCTCTTCTGGATCATCCAAATGCACTCTTACAAACTTCAGACGGGCCTGGACATGTACTGGCTTAAGCAGGGGGACACGTCTGGCACTGCAGGATTTGAGTCCCTGGTGGCGTGGTGTGTTACTGATGGTAGGCTTTGTTACTTTGGTCCCAGCTCTCTGCAGGTCATTCACTAGGTCCCCCCGTGTGGTTCTGGGATTTTTGCTCACCGCTCTTGTGATCATTTTGACCCCACGGGGTGAGATCTTGCGTGGAGCCCCAGATCGAGGGAGATTATCAGTGGTCTTGTATGTCTTCCATTTCCTAATAATTGCTCCCACAGTTGATTTCTTCAAACAAAGCTGCTTACCTATTGCAGATTCAGTCTTCCCAGCCTGGTGCAGGTCTACAATTTTGTTTCTGGTGTCCTTTGACAGCTCTTTGGTCTTGGCCATAGTGGAGTTTGGAGTGTGACTGTTTGAGGTTGTGGACAGGTGTCTTTTATACTGATAACAAGTTCAAACAGGTGCCATTAATACAGGTAATGAGTGGAGGACAGAGGAGCCTCTTAAAGAAGAAGTTACAGGTCTGTGAGAGCCAGAAATCTTGCTTGTTTGTAGGTGACCAAATACTTATTTTCCACCATAATTTGCAAATAAATTCATTATAAATCCTACAATGTGATTTCCTGGATTTTCTTTTCTCAATTTGTCTGTCATAGTTGACGTGTACCTATGATGAAAATGACAGGCCTCTCTCATCTTTTTAAGTGGGAGAACTTGCACAATTGGTGGCTGACTAAATACTTTTTTCCCCCACTGTATATGTAGGATCTTCATTTGAGCCAGTTTGCTACAGCAGGAAAATAATCCTGCAGCAACAGGAATGTGAATTATTATGTGGATTAAAATTAATGGACATTATTGTTGGGGTTGATACACTTTTCGTAAGGGAAAATCAAGTCTGAAATTTCAAAGTGGAAATTACAAACTTCAGAAGCCTTTTTAACCCTCAAATATACTACAAGTTTAATATTTCCTGCATTGCAGGAAAGTTCTCCTGCTGCAGGGTGATCAAATTAAGATCTTACATCTGTAGGAGTCGGTTACAGTGCACCAACAGATCGGGACCAGGCTAGACCAGTAGAGGACAGAAATATGAATATGTGATGTTTTATATAATGAGGCATGATAGTGATCAACATTGTCCCAACTTTGAGACACCCTCTGTGGTAGGGCGGTAGGGTTATCGTAGTCAAGCTAACTGAACAGTGATGATCGTGATTGAGGACAACCCTAGTGTACCTTGACTTGTATTTATTATGTTTCCAGGGCGAGATGTTTCTGCCAACTTCTGCACAAGCAACTGTGCTAGCCATCTGCCTGAAAATAAACCAGAGAGAGAATGAGAGTGGGAGATAGAGAGAGGGGGTACATTTATAAATGCTGATCTCTCCATCTCCATTCACACATTCCAAACGTGCTCTTGAAAATAATAGCACCATTTTCTGTAGACATCTGGCACTTCACTCAATTGAGAACCATTGTGTTGGCAGAACCTCCTGCTTTGTAACAAGTGTAAAAATAAAATTTAAAAAACACTTTTATATAATAATCTCTGACTGTAAAATCGAATCACCCAGGTGGGTGATACACATTGGGAGTGGAAGATTGGCTACCTATGGAGTCATTATATGTTTTTCTTCTTGCTTGTTCACTTCTCTATAAAAAAAAAAAGCGTGATTTGTATGTATACTGCAATTCAGCTTCTAGCTGCATATGTAAACATGAACTAAAGTAAACAAAATCTTTACCTCAGGTACGGGAACCATGGCGCCTTCTACCGCTTCAGGTCGACCAAGGGGCGGATCCTTCCTCTGTTCTACATCTACGACTCCTACCTGACCCCACCTGAGGCCTGGGCCGAACTGCTCCACCCCACCGGCGCCCACACCCTCCGTGGCACGCCCTACGACGGCATCTTCCTTGCCCTGGTCGTAGAAGAACGCCACAAACACGAGATCCTGGCCGGTGGCTTCGACGGCATGTATACATACTTCGCCTCCAACGGCTTCTCCTTCGGCTCTTCTCACCAGAACTGGAAGGCGGTCAAGGACTTCTGTGACGGGAACAACCTGCTGTTTGTGCCCAGCGCTGGGCCGGGATACGTCGACACCGCAGTGAGGCCGTGGAACAACCACAACACGAGGAACAGGGTCAACGGACGCTATTACGAGACCAGCCTGCAGGCTGCGCTATCGGTGCGGCCGGAGATCGTGACCATCACGTCGTTCAATGAGTGGCATGAGGGGACACAGATTGAGAAGGCGGTGCCCAGGAAGACGGTGACGCGACTGTATCTGGACTACCAGCCCCACCGGTCAGATCTATACCTGGAACTCACCAGGAAGTGGGCCGAACACTTCAACAAGGAGAAAGACAAGTGGCTCATGTAGAGGACAGGACTCCTGATTGGACTGAGTCTATGGGAATAATACCTTTTGGGTGTGACTAGAGCAAGTAAAACTGAGGAGCTTTTCCCACTACTGAGCTGAGCCGAACCGAGCCAAACCAAACTGTACTGAGCTGGCCTGGTTAGTGGTTACACATCCACCATAGTTGCTGGAACCTGCTGAAAAGAACAATTTGGAAAGAAAATAGCACAGCCAGCACAGTTTGGTTCAGCATGGTAGTGTGAAAAGTGGCCTCACTACTGAGTATTCCGGGTCGTTGTGAATATAAACCGTATTTATTTTGAGAGTGAAGCAAAAATGTGTACATTTGGCCCCATACTCCAGCATTTTGGATTTGAGATCAAATGTTTAATATGAGGCGACAGTACAGCATGTCACCTTTTATTTTAGGGTATTTTCATACATATCTTGTTCTATTCTATTCATACATAGAATGCCGCAGCCCGTCTGGTGTTCAACCTTCCCAAGTTCTCTCACGTCACCCCGCTCCTCCGCACACTCCACTGGCTTCCAGTTGAAGCTCGCATCTGCTACAAGACCATGGTGCTTGCCTACGGAGCTGTGAGGGGAACGGCACCTCCGTACCTTCAGGCTCTGATCAGTCCCTACACCCAAACGAGGGCATTGCGTTCATCCACCTCTGGCCTGCTGGCCCCCCTACCTCTGCGGAAGCACAGTTCCCGCTCAGCCCAGTCAAAACTGTTCGCTGCTCTGGCACCCCGATGGTGGAACGAGCTCCCTCACGACGCCAGGACAGCGGAGTCACTCACCACCTTCCGGAGACACTTGAAACCCCACCTCTTTAAGGAATACCTGGGATAGGATAAAGTAATCCTTCTACCCCCCCTTACCCCACCCCCAAAAAATATATTGTAAAGTGGTTATCCCACTGGCTATAAGATGAATGCACCAATTTGTAAGTCGCTCTGGATAAGAGCGTCTGCTAAATGAAGTAAATGTAAATGTAATATCTGTTTAACCGTTCAGAAATGAAAAACTTAATGGATCTAGCCCCCCCATTCGAATACGTTTTTTTTTATTCTCATAAGTATTTGGACAAATTAACATATAGCGTATTAAAGTATTCAAAAGTTTAGTATTTGGTCCTATATTCATAGCACGCAATGACTACATCAAGCTTGTGACTCTACAAACTTGTTGGATGTTTTGGTTGTGTTACAGATTATGTTTTGCCCAATAGGAACTGAATGGTGAATAATGTACTGGAGTCACTTTTATTGTAAATAAGAATAGAAGACATTTCTGAACACTTCTACATTCATGTGGATGCTGTCATGATTATGGATAATAATGAATGTATCCAGAATAATGATGAGTGAGAAAGTTAGAGGAAAAAAGATCATACCCACCCCAAAAATGCTAACCTCCCCTGTTATTTGTAATGGTGAGAGTGTAGCATTTCTTTTTTGGGGGGGGGATATAAACCTTTGACTACTTTAATACAGTATAAGTGAATTTGTCCAAATACTTATAAGAATATTATTTTTCAAACGGGGGGACTACATACACAAAAGTGCTTTCCTTTCGGGGGCGGCAGGTAGCGGCAGGTAGCTTAGTGGTTAAGAGTGCTGTGCCAGTAACCGAAAGGTCAGTGGTTCTAATCCCTGAGCAGACTAGGTGAAAAAATCTGTCTGTGCCCTTGAGCAAGGCACTTAACCCTAATTGCTCCTGTAAATCGCTCTGGATAAGAGCGTCTGCTAAATGACGTAAATGTAATTTCTAAACTGTCAAACAGACATGTATGAAAATGCCCTCAAATAAAATGTGACGTTCTGTAGTCGCCTCATATAAAACATTTGATCTCAAATCCAAAATGCTGGAGTATAGAGCCAAATGTCCACATTTTATTTTCACTATCCAAATAAATTCGAGGAGTGTATGCTTTTGACTGGAGCAAATGGGACTGATGGCTCACACCATTGATTTAGCAACAATTCCACCTGGCCTATCAGAGGGCAAGATGAAGGTTCCACTATATTGCTTACACCTATCCAATCCTCTCAGATCTGCAAAAGCATCTAGGGGGAGGGGGCTAGGGCTTGATTTGGGATTCAGGGCTACACTCATGATTGAACCTGTCTCTGTGTTCATCTGTGTTCATCAACTCTTCTGTTCTTCTCTGAAATGAACATTCTCAAATGAACTTTTCCATTGATGTGAATTTCATTTTTTTTTTTTTACATCTGAATACACAACACAAATACTTTTGTACAAAGTTTCATTGGTTGGTTTACATCGACTTATGTTAGTGCAGAGAAATAGCCTGTTTTGAGTGACTTAAGTCTATTCCTTTCAGATTAGTTATGTTGTGATAATAGCCACAGTAATGATATAGCCACTGGGGTTGTGTAGTGTGGGTGACCTTTGAGACTTTCTGACATTGAGGACTTATTCTTTCCTGTATTACTTTTAAATGGTGAAAAATAAACATATTGTCTGTTTACTATGTGAGAATCTTTGGTGCGTTTGAAATAGGGTGGTTTCGACAAAACCGAATCAGCAAGGTTCAGACCCACCATTTGGGAAGGAGTGTCGTATCGGGTGAATGGTGGCCAGTTATTGCTGTCAACAAAGAGTCAGCTTAGGCTGCACCGTGTTAGAGGCTTTTATTAAAATCACGAGGTTACAGCATAAGTTACAGGTGACATGACACCCGGAGAGTGACGCCTCAGAATGGCTGCTCGTTCTGCCCTCTCCTTCGTTTTCCCCCCTATTTATAAACAATGATGCTCCCTCTTCTGGCCAATCACCAGTCTCCCCTGTCTACAACACACTTCCTGTCTGTTGTATGTGGCGTTACACCTAAAACATTCCCTCTTGATACTAACATAAACAACATTCCATTTCTTCATGAAAAACATTTAACACCATCATAATCTTAATACACTACATTCCCCCCTTTCGAGACGAACTAAACGTCTCGAAAACAAACAGAATAGGATTATGACTAGTAACAATTTATCTTATTGAGTATCTTTAACATTAAACCAAAAAACATTCTCTTCTAGAGTGTAAATACCTTTCTTATGAAATAACTGTTTATGAAGTGTGAATACATTACTATGAAATATGAACAAATCTCTATGGAGTGTAAGAGCGAAAAACTGTCCGGCAACCTTCCATCCATCAATCAAGACAGTAAAATTCTCTCACGGTCCCTCTGCCCCAGGCAACCACCTTCGGTACTCCAGATAAACTCATAAACCCTGTAAATGCATTTGAAACTATGATGCAATTAAATACACATGTAAGCCCCTGCAAACAAAATCCTATCCAAAAACATCCACTTGTAAGGCTGGTCAACCCATTGGACCTTACAGTGAACCTCTCCCTGCCTAGACCTTCTCTGTCCCTAAGCATCACCGAAATAAACAAAAACATCTAAGATCCTCACATGTATTCAATAACATCAAACATCATTCTACAAAAATTAATACCTAAGAATATGACACAAATTATGTATTACACATGTCTATTTTTCATTGCAGACACTGGAATGTAGTCCACTACACTTCATCTCCCCTTAGTCTCCTCTTCCAATGGACTGTTGATGATGGAATCGGCCACACCCTCCTTGTTTCATCTCCTCCAGTCATATTGTCCCTTCCCATGTTTCCCCAAATGCTTCTGGAAGAAAAAGAAACGACCAAACAGTATCTTTTGCAAAACAAACACTTTCAAATTAAACATCAATATCAACTAAGAATATAAAAATGCTATATAAATGATATATGAATCACATAAACCCATTCCCCCCTTTGATTCATAAATCATACTAAAAATCACACCAATATTGAAAAAATTGAAAAATGATCAAATAATCAAAAATGATATTTATCCATTCAGTTCCACTTGTCCATCTTTATCCAGATCAGGAACAGTCAACACCGGCATCTGAGTGTTGTCTCCAGGCATCACTCTCCAACCTATCTCAATATCATAGCTTTCTCAAAGGTCAGTAACATATTAGAAACATCACACAGTGTTATCAAAGCTGCCATTAAAATGTAACCCATCACTGCCCCTACTGGCCTACCTGATCTTGCAACCAAGACTTCTCAGATCTCCCAAACGCATCCCTTATATTCTTCAACACATCTATAACACTCGTGACATTATCGGAACTATCTGGCCTCAAAGTATACCTAATATTATCAATATGATCTTCCCAAATGTTACACCATACCATGGAAAAAGTCCCCCCTTCTCCCTTAGATTTATCCTTCAATGATAGGCTTGAAGACTATGACATGTAGCCATGTCTCTTTTCATCCAATTTCAAATATAGCTTCAGATTTCTGTGTCCGGTACTACCCCTCTTATAATGGTAGAAACCTCATATGGAAGCTTCAACGTTGACATATAACAACATCCTGTCTATCCATAATGTAAGAATATATATGCTTTATCACCACAAACCCTCCAAATATCTCTAAAATTCCCCATAATCACATTGTCAGGCAAAAGCTAATATTTTAACCATCAAATTCCTGCTGTTCCTAGTACCTGGTACATAAAAAGTAACATATTTCTCATTACTACCCTTAAGGTCATGCATATAACATCACAATCTGATATTCCCATAAACATACCCCTTACCTCATATGTTTTATTAGAACAAAAACAACTTTTAGCCCTCAATGGTTACACCTCAAATGTTTCAGGGTTTGCTGTTACCTGATTTTACTTTCCCATCCAACAAATTCACACAAGTTAATTCACTTAACCCAATAACACCTAAACCTAGGCTTAAACAAATGTTTTGACAACGACATTATTTTATCTGTTACTGATTGTTGCTGATACCACAGTCATGACAAAGCATAAAATTGACACATACTTGATAGAGGTCGAGCGACCGTCTCTAACATGTTTGGCTGGAATTCTCAACAGACATGGACCCTCAAGATTCCTCACTGATCTTACAGAATGAGCTGCTGGAACCTGCCCATCTATCTCTAATTTTCACAACAGAAGAATCAAACCACTCCCTTTAGTTTCTCTCTTCCCTAACGAGCGGTACTGATCAGATACCTCTCCTTGTCTGTCATTAAAATCAAAGACCTCATCCTGTCCTCCATGATAAAT